GTTGGTCAAGGCTATTGTGTGAAGTGAGAATATATCAACATAGCTGTCATACTGAAGAACATCCTGCTCCTCATTCAAATGAGCAAAAGCTGGGAGTTTTGCAGTTTCGCGCATTGCTAATTGGGCAATGCACCCTGCTGGCTTGTCCCTGATGTTTACTCTTGTGACTGCATATTCTCCAAGATTTTCCTCCTCTGATTCTCGCCACAGAAATCTATGAAGATGCATCTCTCTGTCTTCCAACCGGACTGAATTATACATCTTCCTTACATCACCCACGGCAGCATATTTCCATCCATCCATCCATTTTCGGAACCCGCTTTTGTCAACGCAGGGTCGCGAGGGGGCTGGTGCCTATCTCCAGCGGTCAACGGGCAGTCAGGCGGGATACACCCTGGACAGAGAGCCAGTCCACCGCAGGGCAGCAGCATATTTCCCATCCCTGAATCAGAGGAGAACAGCACGAATTTGGTTAAGGACATCTGGGCCTTTCATGAGAAGTTAATTTAAGCTTACACCTTCAAATCTCTGACTACTGTTCCACACCAATCTTACTGGTGTTGTCACAGAGTGCCGGTTTAAAGCTATGAGGTGACTTACATAGCAGACCGGCCCATTCCAGTTGTTTATGAGGGATTTGTTATTAGTTCATGAGGGATGTTTGCAATTATTGATGGCACTAAAGCCTTTAAAAGCAAAGCTTTCAGAGCTGATTATTATTCACATGCTTTTCCCAGACCTGGGCCAGCTGATTATCCTACGCTACCACCGGCACCGGCTGATTTCTTGTCCCCTTCCAGCTGTTTGTGCAGTAGGGTGGCAAACTATTTTTGGAATGAAAGCCGACGTTAATTTGTAAAGCTTGTTTTAGAAGCGATTGGAAATCAGGCCAGGAAAAGGAGGCACAGACCCCCCCCCCCCCCCCCACCCCCTTTTTTTTGGCTTTTAATGGCCTTTATGTAATCATCAGCTTGGATTTAACTTTATATTCCTTAATGTCTTGACATCAGATGTTACTGTAACAGCCAAGGTTGCTCCCATCAGCCATCTGTTTGCTCAGAGGGAAGAAATTCCTAGAAAAAAGTGCAAAATACCTGGCAAACTCCTCGTGCACGTGTGATTTAAACAAATAAAAGGCAGAAATAAAGACAATCTGGGTAGACGCCGTTCCTGGATTTCTAAATAATTCAGCTGCACGGTGAATTTTTATCAAGATGTGCGACTTAAAAGCTTTTCTTTTCTGTGACTCATTCACATTTCCATTACCAAACCCGCTCTACTGGGGGGGAGTCTAAGGAGAAAGATGCTTCTGTTTCTGAATGAAAGTTGCTCCCAGTTCCAAAGCAACAATGTCAGAACGAGGCGGATGCAGAGCAGGAGTTAATGCACTTTGTCAGTACTGGCAGACCTCGGAGCCAAGAGCTATTAACTCTGAGAGGGAAAGGCATTTCCTCCTTGTAAATGCCATATTAAATTATTATTATTTCATTTTGTAACAGGGAAAAGCCCATCTCTTCACTGGCTTTGTGCTGTTTCAGCATGAGCGGGTACCTGCGAGCGGAGCGTTTCTTCCAAAGCCACCATCTTTGAGCTGAGTGTCACCTCCAAATGGCCTTATAAATTTTAACTGCAACCATTTCCACATTTCTTCAGTGTGTTCTCTGAATGGGTCTTCTGGGGTGGGGGTTCTGGCAGATGAATATGTGAAGGAGCTTCGAGGCCGGCATGTTTCTGCAGGTGGATCGGACTCGGGAGACTCGCGGGGACTCGCAGTTAGAGATCACTGAGCCAGAATAACACAGCGAGACATTTAGATAACTTCTCCTGAGTTTTTAACAGAAAAGCAGCTGCCAACGTAGGTCCACTGTGTGCAATATAATACGCTGTCAGTATTAGGCCCGGTTCACACGGCAGGATCTTTAAATTACAGGAAGATTGTCACACCACTAGAGACCACACACACCGAGATATAAAATCACTGATGTAACAGTTTTGGTCCCACTCCCAGTCAGACGAGCAATCTCATGAGATCGAATGTGACTTTAAGTAAACAAACCTAACAGGAGAGGAGCGTGCAGCGCTCTTCTGTTGCCTCGCTTTTCGATTGGTTAAACACATTCGACATGAAATTCTCAAAAATCTGACGAAAAAATTCTAACAGATTTGATCTTGCTGCTTTGGTCCCGACATCCTTCTGAGCAGACCAGAATGCTCTCACCCATGGACGTAGTTTGGACTTGAGAAGTGTGTTTGTGTGTGTGGGTGGGGGTGGGGGTTGGGGGGGGGGGCAACTGGCATAAGGACCGGGGTCTTTACAGTAACAAAAAATATGTATAAAACTACAGCCTAGAGGCTCTTTTATGCAATGTCAGAAATGCAGAACTGTCAACTACACAGGCGGCAAGAACAGCCAATCACACATTAGCAAGTATCAGCAGAGCCAATAGATGAGCTTATGGGACATGTCCCCCCCACCAAAACTATGTCCATGCTCTCACCACACCACATGTGCATGGCAGGAATACCTGATAAATTTAGATTGCTCTGCTGTGTTAACTGGGCCTTGAATGGAAAAATCCAGAAAAATATTGCCCTCTGGTGGAGGAGCTACAGGTGAAGGCACTAATCCTGATACTCCATCTTGATGCTTCAAAGGAGTCATCACCTGCTACTACCATGGATATCTACATTATATTATAGTCTTTTAGGTCATAAAAATAATTTATTTTGGAAAATTGAATTAAAAAGTGCTTTTCTGACCCTGTGCTCGATGCGTATTTGGAATCGTAGGATGTCCAAGGAAGATCCCGTCTTTTTTGCCTTTGCTTGCTAGAAGGGCTCATCTACGACTGATCAGATTTAGCAGCAAACCGATGTCTTCCCTTGCTAAGTGCAGACTGTTTTCCTGTCACCGCCACCAACAGAAAGCTTGTTTTGGGTTGTTTTGTAAAGAAACCGTGAACTTGGCGCAGCAAGAAAGACCCCTTCCTTGGACATACTATGATTCCAAGTGACGTATCCCGCCATGGTTGAAAAACTGTTCCAAAATTACGTCTTTTCTGGCCGTGAATTCAATGTCTTCCTGTGCGTCTCATTTTGGGCGTCTTATACTGTAAAAAAAAGATCATGGAAAAAAACCTCCAAATAGCAATTTGATAATGCAACCGAGTCCTCCACGTGTAAGTCAGGTGTCTTACTAGTTGAGCTATCCCTTTAACAATTTTTCACTGAAAATATTTCTATCACCAAAAATGGTGTTAAAACCCAGCAAACATGTGGATGCTTGATGACAGCTGAATTACGTTAGTCCGATCAAAATGTGGTATTTTGAAATACAAACTATTATTACTATATTTTCAAAGACAACTAGTTCCAAAATGAAAGTTTCAGTAATGTCTATTTTGGTCGTCATTTCTGGAAGCAGGGCAGTGCGAGCTATAGGGAGCCTAAGTCACTTCCGCACCATGGGTCCCCCGAAGAACGAAAAAATGAATGCAAGCCAACGGAGCTAAAAACGTTATTTTCTAATCCGCTTTGCCTTACGCCGTGGATCGTACACGTTGTACTGTAATTTAAATGAAAAGTAATGATGGGGGTTTCGACCATACCAGTCACGTACTTTGAGATGTATCAGCTTGTAAAAGTTCGTAATTAGCATGACTACAAACTGGAAATCAGCACGCCGCATTTGTGACATCACCACATAATCTCCTCCCCCCTAGCGTAGCTGCTACTTACCACATGACCAGTTTTATGGTGGTTCTTTCCTCCTGTGGGAAGTTTGCTGAACTTAGAGCCATTTTTCCCTCAGTTTTCGCCGTGTCTGGTTCGATGACCTCACTTTCGTGAAGCGCATTTGTAGTTCTGGACTTATTTTTACACAAAACCTAGAATATCGTCCCCCCCTGTTCGAAAATAACTGCGTTCTTGGTATCAAAATGCGTCTTTAAAATTCACGGACATCATATATGAAATCCATGTAACAAAACAAGCGGAATTAGAAAATAGCGTTTTTAGCCCCATAGACTTACATTCATTTTTTCGTTCTTCCAGGGACCCGTGATGCGGAAGTAACTTAGGCTCCCTTTAGAGGCATTGCTCTGCGCTGTACACATATTGAGCTGTACATCCTGTCTTTGTGACGACAGTAAGGCCAAAACTGAAGGTCTCATTTTGGGGTGCACGTGGGCGGGTTGAAGAAGCCAAGAGTAAAAAAAATAAATCCAATGTTAAATATCGACTTTCCGGCCAGTGAAAAATAATTAGGAAGTGATTATATACACTTTTTCATGTGGAAAAGTGAAAATTTCAGGTAATGGCTCCTTTAAGGGCAGAAGTGGTTTGATCTGGAACTGTGATAATATTTTATAAGGGGTTGAAAGCAAAGTTTCAATAAAAAAGATCGGTAACACTTCCTGTTACAGTCCCCTAATTACTAAGTGCTTGCATGGTAATTACATAGTAAGTTATTGTTTCTGAGTTATGAAACAGTCATTACCATGTCACTTAGGTTCAATTCTAGTTTTTATTTGTGTTAATAATTCGCAGTAAATACTGCTTTACACAATAATTACACTTTAATACAATTACACACTTTAATTACACAATATTACACTTTTACTTACTATGTAATTACCATGTAAGTATTTAGTAATTAGAGGACTGTAAAAGGAAGCGTTACTAAAAGATCTGGCTGTGGTCAAATTTCAGCTCAGTGTCTTTGAAATGGATGAAGACTTTGTTTTCCTTGTGTTTGTTTTACCACTTTATTTATAGAGTGCTTTTAACACGGCATTACAACCGACCAAAGCGCTGCACTTATTAAAACAACACAAGCAGAAATAGTCACTTGGGTCATAAAAACAATCAAAAAGAACAACAACACATGTAATTGTGAGTAAAATCCGAGAGTTAATCAGTAGACGTAAAGTGGTGGGTTAATTATGAATCAGCTGAGGATGTAACCCAACTGACGTCTTTTTTCTGTTCTTCTCACATAGATAAACCAACAGGGTATGGCCCGAGTACCAGGCGGTCGCGCGGCATCGTGGACGAGTGCTGCTTCCAAAGCTGCGAGCTGCGGCGCCTCGAGATGTACTGTGCCCCGGCCAAGACCAAGGCGGCTCGCTCTGTGCGTGCACAGCGCCACACAGACATGCCCAGAACCACTAAGGTCAGTAACCTGGGACACAGAGCGGACAAGGGCACAGAGCGCAGGCCAGCACAGCAGCCTGACAGGACAAAAAACAAGAAGGTGAGCTTATCTAACTTTGTTCCATAGAGAACGGGATTTGTGTTATTGATTTGTATTTTTGCAAAATACCAAACGCAAAGCTTTTTATGTCTTTTAAGGACCTTTTCCAGTAATTTTGCTGAGTTATACTAACATAGACGGATGTTTTAAGGGTTCAGCAAGTTCACGTTTATAATTGTGGAGCCAGAAAGTAATAAATCTAATCTAAGTTACTTCGTTTTCCTCCCACAGAGACCTTCATCTGGGCATAGTCATTCATCCTTCAAGGTATGGGTCGAATTACTGTGCTCTTTTTAACTGATGATTAACCTTTTTAACGCATTAATACTTGCTGTTTCTGCTTTGAGTTGCCAACAATGAAAGACTGATGCCCTCATGCCAAAAATCTTCATGACAGAGCCTGAATCTATAGCAATGATCTTAACTCAGAATCCCCCTCAAAAAACTCAAGTCCAGAATGATCCTAATTGAAAAATCATTGCACGTCTCAAGTATGTAAGAGCAAAGAGTCCAAAGGCGATTATCCAGTGTCCAAAATCATAAAGACATCCGTTGGATTTTAGTTCAAACAAATCTGGGGTTAACGCCCTGACCAACGAGGAGCGATTAAAGCATTTAAAGCTTGTCAGAAACAAAGCATATTTTGTTCAATTCGGTTGCTATTGTCAGATTTGCACAATCTGTAGTTGGTTTCAGTTTTGGATCATTAATGTTTTTTATCCCAGGAACAGCATTCAAGTTTTACGCCATGTGCAGGAGGGTGCATGATAGAAGTTAGCGTTGATAGACATAGCAGCTGAATGCTTTTGCCTAAATTTGGTCTTTTGGTAGAGCATGTTTACATTAATTAATTTATTTATTTGATAGGGATTACGTTAATGAATTCCTACGGACACTTAAAGTACACTTAAATCTGACGGATTACAGCACGAATGCTAAGTCACTTCCACATTCCCTAGACATGTCTCACAAAAACATTACAGGACCGAACAGGACAGTAAATTCAAAAGGAACACATCACAGACACACATTTTACATTTCATAATCTCAAAGGTTAATGGTTACTTGACTGATTTGCTTTCAGCCAATGTCTGATTTAGCTTTTGAAAACTTGTAATGCGGAGCACCCCTTTATTGGGAGTGAGGGACTGTTCCAGATTTGACTGGCCTTCAGTCCAGAGGCTCTTTTTCTTTTTCTGTACAGGACCTCACAGTCCACCCTAGCCAAGGCCCAAGTCTTGAGACTGCCATGATCCCTTTTTTACTCGTAAGGTGTGTTTCCCCTATGAGAACTCCAGGGTAATTTTACCAGAACTTCCCGGGATGCGTGTGTCTCCACTTTACCGGACCAGCTGAACGGGCTCACACAGCAGCTCTCCCAGTTATCCGATATGGATTAAATTTCTGTACTTTGACAGAATAAAACTTTTAAAGTTACTGTGAATGCTTATGATCAGTCTGATCAGTGACATCACTCACTGCCGAAAAAGTTGCGATATGCGGAAGTCTGAAAAGTCCTGAAGGGGCTCAATTTGTATGAGACACAATAGCTGAGAGGACCGGGCATCGTATCTCCTGCTCAAATTCCCCCTCCCAGAAATTACTCTGAAGGTCCGACAATGGAAACACGCCTACAAGTCAGACATGGCAGGTGGAGGAAGACTGTGGCCCAATCCCAATACTCGCACTTCCACCCTTGTGCCCTTCAATTACGCAATCCCAAACAGGGGTGCGAGTGCGTAGTGTGTCCCGATTCTCAAGTGCGAAAGTTGATCGCGCTCCTTTTACACCCTAGATCCGCACTTCACCCAAGTCCACATAACCCACAATCCATTGCTGTGAGAGAAAAGGCTCAAGCTCCTAATGGCATTAGTTCGTTTTAGGACAATTAGTTGACGCTCTGAATGTTTTAGACAAAGCAGCAATGAATTTAAATTTCTTTCAAATAACTGGTTGGTTGTTTGTTTGAAAGTTGTTAATAAAAGTTTTTTTTAAAGTATCACAGCGACCTGCATCCCGGCATGCGTTGTGATTGATTACACAATGCTGCCTGTCTCAGTTCGGCAATTATGTGCAGACTTGTGTACCATGCACTCGAAGCCTTGCTGCGCACTTACTCCAAGTGCACTTTGCACTTTGCAGTGTGAGTATTGGGATTGGGCCTTGCAATTCAGAGAGTCAAATTCAAAGCTGCTGTAGCAAATCTACAGAACAAGCTAGGTCAAACACGGCCGTGGAACACTCACCCCTCCCTTCGTGTAACTTCCCTGAAACGCTTCTGCTGAAACTGGAAACCCAGGTTGCCAGAGAAAACGAGAGAGCGCTGAACACCAGTCACCTTTTACTAGGTCCAAAAGTCTTTTGTTGTTCGTGACAATACAATACAAATCGCGGGGTGAACGAGCATTTGTGCACGCTGCCCCAAAGCTGTGGAACTCGTTGCCCACTGGAGTTCGGCAGACTCGATCACTGGTGGTTTTTACATCTCGTTTAAAGACCCACTTTTACGATTTGGCTTTTAGACAGTGACTCGTTTTAGTGTTTTATTGTGTCGTTGTTTTAATGTGTTCTTAGTATTCATCATGTTTTATCTGCTTTTGATCGGTATTCTTATCTTCTGTTTTAGTTTCTTAGAATGGTCGCGTTTTGTTTTAGCCTGTGCAGCACTTTGGGCAGCTCCCATGCTGCGTTTTAAACGTGCCATATAAATAAACTATGGTACGGTGTGGTGACTTCAAACGGTGTTTTTCTTATTGGGACTCTGGTAGCTTGGCCTAAAGCTGAAGAAGAAGAAGTTGAAGGAAAACTCCCTTTTAACAAGAAGAAATTATATTATTATTATTATTATTATTGCCCTATTGAACTCAAATTAATTTAAAAAAGTTTTTGGGTGTTTTTTCATGGCATGGACATTAAATGGTTAAAGTAATAAACAAATAAGATGCTTTAGGTTATTCCTATTGCTCAGACCTAATGCAGGCTGAGCTGTGTAATGGATAAATCGGATTTGTCTTATTTATTTGACCCGTACAAACTTCAAGTGGGGACAGAGAAGTTGGTTTTATGACCACCATAAAAGTGTTTTTGTTTAGCTACAGTTTCCTGAGGGTTCTGCTTCAAAGGGCAGGAGAAGCATCGTTTACACCCCCGTTTCTTGTAAGCACGACCCCAAGATATGGGTCCAGATCACCCCTACCAATAACACTGCAGGACCTTCCTTTGTTCTGCCCTTTATATATCCCCTATATATCACTCTATATATATAGGGATATATAGGACTCACTCCTGAGGCTGCTTTGGGAAGAGCCTGTCTGACTGTCTCCTCATTTCGATATTGCAATATTGAAATGAAACCCTTTTGATTTAATAATGGACTGCTTTCTCATTCTTTTACTAAGTCTCTAAAAGAAATTCATCAACAGCTGTTAGCACTTTAATGCTATTGTCCTTTTCATCTTTGTTTCATTTGGGTCCAACGATCGTTTTGTTGTGCAGCGCCTTTCTAGAAGGCTCTATATAAATACAGGCTTGTTTGCCTCAGTGTATCTGTTTCATTTATAAAATCACACGTTTTTCACGTTTATTTGCAGGAGGTGCATCAGAAAAACTCAAGTAGAGGCAGCGCCGGGGGCAAAACGTATCGAATGTAGGGAAGCAGCGAATGGACAAACGCCCTGCAGCTTGGGAGGAGAGATGGGAGTGGCCTTACCTGGTACCCTGTGGAACTGTTCACCATTTAACTAAACAAAAGGATGTAAACAACGGCTTAGAAGCTCCTGAAATGGTAGAAACGTTAGAGCTAAGTGGTGTTTTAAAGGTGTGATGGGGTGGGGGGAGGTAGAACTTGTGATTAATTTGTACACTGCACCAATCCATATTGGGAAGGATTATTATTATTATTATTTGTTAATGTACAAAACTAGTTTAGCTGCTGAGACATGTGCAAGAGCTCATTAGGCCTCCATGTTTGAGCTGCAACACCACCACCCCAACTCCAGGAAAGGTGAGAACTTATCTGGGTATCAGCCAATCAGAGAGCAGCAAGCTGAAGTTGGGAATGAGTGGTCCATCTTATCCGCTGCACTTTGTTGAGGTGAGCCCTTTTTACTCCTGGTGAAACTGGGTCACACATAGCAGTCCTCCCCTTGTGACATTTTATCTTCAGAATTTGTATTTATGCACCATGCATTACTGTGGATATTCTGTTTATTTTAAGGACAAAAACCATGTGGTTTATTGGCGCACCTTTAACGTTGTTTTTGTTCATTTCACCTTCAGCTCAAGTCAAATCCCTCCTAAAAGGTGTGACAAGAGGGTTTGAGAGCAATCCAGATCCTTTCTTAGCCCCACAAAGTGTTGAGAACTGCGTCTTAAACCCACTGCTGTAACAAAAGAGGCGTAATTTGAAGGGATTTTGAAAAGGGGTCAAATACAATAGGTATTACAACAAAAATAAGACCGTGGCTTTCTGATTTCCAACAATAAACCAGAACATATAGTGATTTGTTTTTTGTTTTTTGGGGGCGTTTTTTTTTTTTTTTTTTTTTTTTCAGAAATAGGTCATTCAGTAGATCCAAAGTTCATTTGGCACAGATGAAATGCATAATCAAACAGTGACAATCAGGCAAAATGTTTGTTGTCTGTGTCCTTTTTGACGTGTCACCACCGGATCGAACCGTCAACTGTCCTGCAACAAGTTCAGCACAGATTTGTTCAGTCCTGAATAACTCACCAGGAGGAGGAAACAATCCTCAAACGCCTCAAAGTCTGAAGCAAAAAGCTGTGACAATGGCAACGCCACAAATAAAAGATGGTTCGATCAGACGTTTTGTTAGCCCAGGCAGGCCGCGACCTCTCCGCTACCGGTATTGGCTCCGATCAAACCAAATAACGCAGCATCCGTTTCAAAGTCCACCGCAGATTAATCTGCTTGGTAAACATTGCCAACCAAGATGGCACCTGGAAAAGTGAGAGGACACCAATACACACACACACACACACACACACACACACACACACACACACACACACACACACACACACACACACACACACACACAAAACACCCACAGTAAATATAGAGATTATGCAAAAACAAGCAAGGGTCAAGACCACCCTCACAAACTTCACACACAAAAGTCAATTCTTAGAAGTGCTTGCATGAAAACCAACAGGAAGCTGCGCTTTGTTTGAGCCTCCATGACGTTTTCAAAGAAGCTCAAGTCTGGCTCTGTCTCCTCTACCTGTGTATAATAAAACTTTACTCCCATTATGTTAACCAATGCATTAATATCATTCATTGTACATGATGGTTTCATATAACCAAGCTGTATTAAGAATCCTACCCACTGTATAATGGTGCTATTTTATAGTTTGTTACTGGCTAAGTGAGACAGATGGCAGGGCTTTACATGGAAGTCTTCCCTTTTGCACAGCCATGTGGCACCAGTTTATTAGTGACTTTATTAGTAAGCAGTTACAATAAGGCATAGTGTAAGCGAGTAAGTGTATCTGTGTGAAATCTGTGACTGCATGGAGATAAAAGGAAAAACAAATATAAAACATTGTGGTCCCAAGATGGCAAAAAGGCTATTTTTTCTACTGGTTTCATTATGTTCTCAGTACGAATCCATTATGCCAAATAGCTTGCCGAAAGTACTGTAAACTGTGATTCTTCCCATTGCACCGATTGTTAATTAATTAGGTGCTTTTGTCTGTCCAGAGGTGTGTGTGTGTGTGTGTGTGTGTGTGTGTGAGTACATGCGCCTCCCTGGAATCCATTATATTCAATTTGCTCAGAGCGAGACCATGTAGCCCGAGTTAAATATCGCCTTCTGTGGTAGAAAGCGGTAATTGGGCTACACATTTCTATTGAATCAAAATGCAATTTGTCTTTTTTCCTAAAGAAGTGTTTTAAACATTTTCTAAAACATAATTCAAAGCTTAACGTTTAAGATTTGTGGGTGAATAATTAAAAATATATATATTTTTGGCCATCAGTTAATAGCTAGAAGTTTAAATTAGTCCTAAAAGTCGAAGAGCGTTATAAAATCTGTTTAATATGAAGTAAAATACAGGCTGCGCAGTGGCGCAGTGGTTAGAGCTGTTGCCTTGTAGCAAGAAGGTCCTGGGTTCGCTTCCCGGCCTGGGATCTTTCTGCATAGAGTTTGCATGTTCTCCCTGTGCATGCGTGGGTTCTCTCCGGGTACTCCGGCTTCCTCCCATAGTCCAAAAACATGACTGTTAGGTTGATTGGTCTGTCTAAATTGTCCTTAGGTGTGTGTGTGAGTGGTTGTTTGTCCTGTGTGTCTCTGTGTTGCCCTGCGATGGACTGGTTCTCTGTCCAGGGTGTACCCCGCCTGATTGCCCTTTGACCGCTGGAGATAGGTACGAGCGCCCCCCCCCCCCCCCCCCCCCCCCCCCCCCCCGACCCTGCGTGGACAAAGCGGGTTCAGAAAATGGATGGATGAAATAAAATACATTTACCATTTCATTTGGCAAAACTTAACAAATCATATTAAGATTTGTTGTTATTGGTTTAGTCATGTTAGCTTAAGGTTAGCATAACATAAGAGATTGTGAGCAATGTTTTGTCAAATTGAGATTTTCCACTAACTACAAACCCACACCATCATTTTATTGCACATTTTTACACTTTACACCACCTTTTCTCAACATCTCACCATTAAAAAAATCAATGGTTTTGGCCTCCAAATCCATAATTAACAAACAAAACATGTAAATGACTATTTTGCTGGCCATTTGCTGGTGATGGACTTAAAGATAAAACATGAGCATAAATAAGCTGCTACCAAACAACAAAATGTGGTGTTTTTGATTTCATTTTTTTTCTGTCCAGGACCATTACATTGACATCTTTTTTTTTACAACAATTTAATCATCTGGTTAAGTTTAAACTCTGATACGATTTGGGAAAACATCATGGTTAAATATATTTTCAGGCTTTTTTTTTAAATCAAAATCTGTGATGCCAAATTTTTCTTCCAGCACAATCTTCTTGTTTCTTTGTCACCTAACAACAGTTACATGGTCTCATTTTAAGAGTAAACCAGTATTTTGATTTAAATTTCCCCCCAAAACATTAGCTTTTTATAAAAGTCAGATTTTGAAGTTCAGGAGCAGGGACGCGCCTGCAGCACTCCCCCTCCACACAGCTCATGCCTGTACACACCTTTAGCATTGGAGCTAGCTTTGAGTGATCCCTCGTTAACTTTTACCGCCATGCATACAGCACACAGCGTGCATCTCATCGATGGTGTGAGCCCTACTTTTGAACATTAAGTTGTTTTTTTGTCGCTTGAAATCAATGAGAAGGAACGGTAGGAGAGTATCCCTCCCAGTCCAGATATTCCAAAACATTCTCGCTCCCAGCACGTCAAAAACAAACGCTTGGTCACACACCCTCCGCCTCAGACCCCTGACGCCAAAAGTGCCCTTTTACGTTACTTATGTGCGAAAAGGTTTTTTTTCCCTTTTCTGACTGCAGATCCCAATGCAGCGTTACACCAACGCGATGGGATGTCCACAGCCAGGGCACCAAACAAGCTCATTGTACCTCACCCTAACCTTATCCTATTATTAAACCTTCCCCTCACCCCTATCCTAACCTTAAGGCTTGGTTTATGCTTGACGCATTTACTTTCCGCTTGGTGATGCGGCTCGTGGATGAACGTACTTCACAACTCGCAGCGTTTATGGTTCATGTGGCTTGTCCCTGCGGTGAGCCAATATTCTCCCAAACTGTAGGGGGCAGCATGGAGCTCCACGGCATGCATCCAACACTACACCATAGTAGAAGTAAAAATTACTGTTTACAACATGGCATTTCAGCATTTTTAACAGCGTCCTCGTCTTTTCTGACAGTGCGAGCTATTTCTCTCCAAGAATTATTAACAACATGTTGATCACGGTGATCTTTGAGAGCTGAATCATACAAATGTCTGTATTTACGAACCTCTGCCATGCTAGTTCTTGCCAGTCCGCCATGTTTTTCCACGTCCGACCGGCCGCGTGGTTAGAAAATTTCCTAGGTGTGCGGTGTGGAAAGTTTGGGCCGTGCGGAGGCGCGATGGAGGGGCGTGGTTGTTAAAATGACGCAATTTTGCCGCGCGGAGCCGTGTGAACCTCGCGGACGCGTCAAGCATAAACCAAGCTTAACCATCTTGCTAGCGAACACGTTAGTGATGTGTCGGTCGCTGTAAAAGTCGGCTCTATGAAGTGAACGGCGGGAGCCGCCTCGTCATTGGTCGGGTTTGGACCGAGCCAACGCGAGGGGGAGGTTTCAACTACCAAGGTGGAGGTTAAAAGCAGAGGGTATTTGTAACCTCCACCTCGCCAGATGGTATGTTCTAACGTTCCCCTTGGGCGGCAAATACGGAAATTCACAGTCAGAATGCATCGGAAACAAACACTTAATCACAGTGAGAGTAACGTTTTAGGTAGCAAGAGGGTTAAGGTTAGGATGAGGGAGAGGGGAAGGTTATAAATAGTGAAACGTTAAGGTTTAGGTGCGGTTAAATGAGCTGGTTCGGTGCCGCATCAGCGGATATGCCATCACGTCAGTTTTACGCTGCATTAGGATCTGCAGTTACAAAAGGGAAAAACCCCTTTTCGCACATAAGTAACGAAAAAGGGCACTTTTGGCGTCAGGGGTCTGAGACAGAGGGTGGCTGACCAAGCGTCTGTTTTTGACGCGCTGGTAGTGAGAATGTGTTGGATATCCAGTACAAACCAAAGACTTTTTAATTATCACCCAGCATTAGCCTCTTGTCAAACACCCATTCATAAAATATTGCATGATTCCATTCTTGTCTCAGCTGCACTGCATCTTCCATGCACCCTCTACAACTAGAATTACAGCTTGTCTCAGTGGGAAGTGAACCAGACGGAAGCCTCTCGGGGTATATTTTAAGAAGGTGATGCTAAAAAAAATACACGAAAAAATCATCTGCCTTGGACACACTCGAGCATTTCAGCTTGTCAGTTGTATGAAATAATCAATGAAGTGTGCAGGATGTGGGAGTGCGACTCATCCACAACTCCCTGCAGTGTTTAATGAGTAAATATATTTCCTTTAAAATCACTGTCCAAGAAACCGTTTGATTACAGCGCTGTTGTTTATGGTGCTTGATTGCCTTCTGTAGGAAAAGAAAACATACTGACAACCTGTTCACCATTCCTGCTGAAATAAACCACTTGTCAACATCACAGAAATGTCTGGAGAGTGCTTTTATTCAGCGAGTGCATGCACACGCTAAACTTAACAGACTTTGTTAGGAACCCTGTGGATTCAGACACATAAACAGCAGATAATTACAAAGTAGAAGTTTGTCCCCCTTAAATCCTTTAAGACATGTTGGCTAACGCTGTAACTCTAGCCGCGGCGAAGCTGACCGCACTCGCTGCACTGGAAAACAACGTGATACTTCCTAAGAGGCGGTGGGGTCCGCCAACGCAAACACAAAGGGGTGTGGTTCTCCTTCAGGACAGAGCTGCACGTTCAGCTCTTTGGAAGATGCTCACAGTGACGGAGTCTATCTCCGCCCTGGTCGCCGTCAGCACTTTTCAGAGCGGATGCATGCACAAGGACAGGCTGACAAATTGGTTCTCTGGCTGACGCCCAGCAGACAGCAGAGATCAGAATGTGGAGCACAGAGGAGGTCGGCGAGGTCCGGGTCACCGAGGCCATCCTGGATGTTATTTCATCCCTCCGGGGCGCTAATACGGAATCAATTTTCTCACCCTAATGATCCAGTAGCAAGATGCAAGCTTGCACGACTCGGAGTTGAAGTAAATCCGTGCCAAAATTATTACAGTAAGCCAATAAGTAACGTGCACAGATCTGCAATTACTTATATGCTGCAGAGAATATTTGTTTATCCCATTTGAATGTGCTCATTTCGTGTAGCCTAGCGAGACCAGAGAGCGAACCACAGAAAATGTTTGAATAACCTCAAGAACCAGGATGGTTCTGGAAAGAACGTTTTCCCTTCCTTCCCATTGATCTGGGATCCAGTGCATCTGAGGACACGGACTCTGGCCTGAGTTCCGAAACACGATCCCTCCACACTCTTCAACTCCTCATCTTAAGCACACAATTGTCTTTTCAGTGACCTTGTGGTCTGTTTTACTACACTCACCAATTTCACTACTTACTGCTGGTTGTTTCAGGGGAAGAAGAAAAAAGAACTTGTAAGGCCTCATCAGTCTTCAGCCATTCGTTTCTTTTCCAGTGGCCGACACTTTTGCTGACTTGGAACTTTTTTTTTTTTGCTCTTGTCAGCTCAGCGTTTTGTTGTCTCTAATCCCGCGAACATCCCTCAATCGATCTGGTCTTTTAATGAGCTGAACGTGACCAATTTACAAGCGGTGAAACGAGGCCAGATGTGAAGCAAGTGCACGGCGCTACCAGAATATCGGCAGCTAGATGAAAGTTTGGAGATTCTCCCTCTTTCTCAGTTTCAGTCGACAGTGGAAATTCACTGGGACTTGATTATAGCGGGAGAGTGTTGGCTCAGCTGTGCGCTTTAAGAACCCATGATGTCAGAGCCTTATTTTCCTTGGAGAGACTCTCATCAGCTGCATTGTTCCAGGAAACCATGGTCTGTTCACTTAGTGAGAAAAAAACCCCAAAAGATTAAAAAAAAAATCCATCCTTGCGCCCGCATCTTAGCTGGACTCGGAACGCCAACCTCTGGCTCAGCTCCCGACACACAAACACACACATGTGAAGCGTCCTGCGTGGAGCATCACATTTCCTTGGCCCTGGAGCTTCTCACTGTTTGTCTTCTCTCTGGTTCTGTTTTTCATCAGAGGATGAGAGCCTGTGATGAAAGGCAGCGTGTTAATACGGGACTAGGAAACGACACGTTGGACCTAAAACAATCGCGAAACGCCGCCGCTGCTGATGTCATCAAGCTCAGACGTCTCAGGCCTCTGTACGCCATAGCCAGAGTGATGGAAACGCCAGCGATGACCAGTGATGCAAGCAGCTGTACCTGAGGCTGTTCTTGTTGCGGTTCCAACTACTGCGATTCGTCAACAGTTTTGTGAAACGTACGGTGATGACTTCCTGGAAATCAGGATCTGACCAACACCAGATAAAGACTTTCCCATCAGAGCAAAGTTCACAGGATCTTTTGGTCCATTTCCTGCTTTTGCGTTCCATTTGAAGTTCATAAATTCAGCCTGTTTGAAAAAGAAGTCTGGTTAAAATGAGGGCAGCTTTATCTAAGAGAAAGAAGGAGCAGTGAAGATTAAAACAACAGAGAAAGAGAGAGGAGCTCGGGCTGAGGTTGAGTTGTGCTGCTGCTGGAACGGCTGTGGCCCCGCGGACAAGTTCAGCTCCTCGGTACAAGTTCTCACCCTCCAACAATAATACTTACAAAATAAAGGGCTGACCGCTCCAAGTAAAATCACTTCAGCTGAGATCCAGAGTTATTATTCATGCCCTGCTTCTCCATTCCTCTGACGGCTTCTCTGATGTTAATAAGGTAAGCCCTTTGAGCTGGGAACAAGCCCACGAGGAGCTGTGTCAACGTTTTCGCTTGCCTCTGCCTTTCCACCATCAGCTGACGGTCGGCACTTTTGTCTTTTTTGCTTTGCAATAAAAAAAATCTAAACACTTGATTGTAGAAACTAACAAGTTTAGAGCATTAAAATTCAAATTTAGGTGGCTAATTTGGCCGTTTTGATTGTAAATAACAACCATCGCACCTGCTTCCTGAATGGCCTCTGTAGGAATGAAGTTTACATTTGTCCAGACTGATGAGCTAACGGCTAGGCTGGCCAAAGTGTTGCAGCAATCTAAAAGACAACTCAGATTTTAGAAATACACAGCGCAACACTATTTCATAAAAAATAAATAAACACCGCCATCATGAAACGTAAATGTTGAATATGGACCATGAACACCACAGCGACATCTAGTGTGTGGAGGTTGTAGTTGCAACAAGAAAACAAGATTTCCAGCCGCCGGGATACCAGGTTTGCTGCCAATGGATGAAGTGACCAGCCAGCACCATGTCCAGTGACCAATCATACAGAGTAAGGACTAATTTCTAATAATAAGTTTAACATTAGAACATCTTCTGGGCTCAGAAGCAGCTCCGTGACTTGCCGAGTCAACCATTTTCCACAGGACCAGCCTCGCTGTGCTGAGCTTACTGTTTCCCATATTTGGCAACCCACAACGGTGACCTTTATTGGCTGGTAGGTGTAAACATAAACCCAGTGTTGTGCCCATCAAAATAAATAGATGTTTTTAAAAATTCAAATGTAGCTTTTAAAGGAAAACTGTACCTTCATCCTGCTCACCTCTAAACGCCCTGTGCAGGCATTATTTTGTAAATGTAGCTTCTTATTAAATTGTTCCATATTCAACCTTTAAGTGCAACATTTAGCTAGTGATGAGGATATTAATGCCTATAAATACCTGTATGATTATAGTAGTGGCCTGATTTATTCTAAAATATGTTTTAAACATTTTAATATAAAAAAATCCAAAGTGTTGTGAGAGAATGAATCAGTGTCGAGCTTTAGCTCTGCTCTTCTTTCTGTGTCATTGTATCAGAATATTTGTGCTCTGTTGCCAGGGAGACATTATCATCCCTGGGATTAATGGACTTAATTAAAATACTGCGTAATTAGTCATATCTGACAAATACTTCAAGAGCAAGTCACCTCCAAATCAGCTTTTTTTCCCCTGATAAACTATATAAATACGTGTCTAATCGTGCTGCAGAGACACGTGTCGTCAATAGTTTACCACTTTAGTGCATTTTTGTTAAAATTGAAATGTTCTGCCTAAAACTGTCAGTGTTGTGCCGTTGTCAGGTAAAAACTCTGCACTGCATTTGAATTTAAATCTGCCATCGCTATTGGCTAAGGGGTACCCTAGAACGTTAGCTGGTACCATATGATGTCACAATGTCGTTGTGAGTCTGTGTGTGTATTTGTTAGCGGCTCCGCCCTCTCGGTCTGCTAGGCAACAGCATTTGTTGCATTTTTCAAACAGGAAGTGGGAGTTGAGTACGACTCTGGTAGGGGGTGACTTGCTCTTTAAAAGAATGGAGTTTCAGGCAAATGTAATTAAATAAAGTGGGTTCATAAACTACAGATTGGTATTGATCATGCGTTAAAAGGGCTGAGAGTTTAGTATCTACCTCCGCCAAAACATCGTGACAAGACGTTGTTGCTATTCTGTAAATCCATTTTACTCTTGAGAAAAAGCGAAAGTTGGATTTGGAGCATTACACTTAGGGTTGCAATCAGACTAGCTGTTAACTCATCAATCCTGAAGCATTGTTTCTCAGATCAGAGGCTGTTCAGGAAGCCGTCTGCCTTGGTAAATGTTTGGTACCCTCAGCTGGAGGTGTGATGACGGCTCAGTGAGCCTCTCCCTCTCACCTCCTGCTGAATTCATTTCAGCCAGGAGAGTTTAAAAAAGATGATAAATATAATATTAATTTGTGCCCTGTGACCTTCATGACCCCAATCTGATGGGAATGGATTAGCACCCCGCCATGTTTCCCCTTCTTAAACCACTCCACGTTAATAACATCGAAGCGCATTTCGAGTCACCTTTAAACTTCCTGTGACCTTTAACATTAAGAGGTCGATGAGTTATTTCGTTTCAGCTTATAAAGCAGCTGAAACGCAGCAGTCAGGGTGAGACGAGATCCGATGATTTAGAGCCAACTCTGGGTTACGATGATGTCCGTCTGCTCAATACTGCTCGCCGTAGCAGTGTTCTCAGAGCTGAACAGGCTCTCGGTAATCATGGCCGTGCCTTCCGCTAAAGTTGAAGATGGCGCTCCAGAACAGGAGGTTATGGACCAGATTCTTGGTGACGAGACCCTGACTGAGCCTGCTGTGGGCCCCTCCATGTACAGACGGAGTCTGATGCTGGACAACAGCATGAAGGATGATGGGATTCCAAAAGTCATCATTATACCAGTAAGTCTTACAACTTTCTAATGTTTGAGCTGCAAATGTAACTTCTTTTGGTCTACCGTAGGGTTTCAACAGTTCTAGCTCTTCGCCCTCGTTTGTCAGGTTAGAGAAACTCTGTATGGACATTTTTAAATGGTAAAATGGTAAATGGCCTTTATTTTATATAGCGCTTTCTAGAGTCCTGGGACCCCCCAAGGCGCTTTACAACACAATCAGTCATTCACCCATTCACACACACATTCACTCGCCGGTGGGGATGAGCTACGATGTAGCCACAGCTGCCCTGGGGCGCACTGACAGAGGCGAGGCTGCCGAGCACTGGCGCCACCGGTCCCTCCGACCACCACCAGCAGGCAACGTGGGTTAAGTGTCTTGCCCAAGGACACAGCGACAGACTGAGTGGGACTCGAACCTGCAGCCTTCCGATTACGGGGCGAGCACTTAACTCCTGTGCCACCGTCGCCACCATTTAAAGACAGCAGTGCATCTTAACCATTCATTGTGACATTTCATGCAACTCTGTCCATCGTTCAGCAACACAGAGCACATTATCTCAGCTCTGTGACCCGTTTCAATTCGCTCATCTACTGTGAAGCCAGTGTTTTACACACACTTCTATAAAATGATTTTACAGCAGCGCTGGAAAACTGGGGAATGCCATTACCTAAAAAAGTCAAACGATCACAAGTCTATTAAGATTTTTTAAGTCACAGTGGGAGGAATTATGATGCATCAGTGTTCCCACCAAAGTTCTGGCTGCAATGTACCTTTCGAGCGATCGAGCGTTCTTTCGAGCGTGTCTCCAGTGTGTCATTAACATGGCGGATGTCTCTAACGGTGACTGGGAACAAAGACGGGAGACAACGAAGACACCTGGGTGAACCAGAGCTATGAATGAACACGTTTGTCCCGCGGGGAGTTCCTGTGTCTTGGCTCAGCCAGTGAAGTCGGACACGACACCTGCACCTAAAGTTCCAACTTTAAAAGCTGTTTCTGGAAGTTAACAACCCAAATTTCACGTGGTGCAGAAATAAGAATGAATGTGATCTGAAAATGTGATGACTGGTTAATACGTTTCAGAGAGGACACGGTGTTCGTGAGCTGAACTCGGCCTTCACCCGCAGCGTACCTCGGCTCTCAGAGAGAGGCTTGAGCCACCCTCCTGGAGAGCTCCCACTGAAGATAGATCAGCGAGATAAAGACCTTGACAGTAAGTATTCTAAAAATCCTGCTTCTAATAAATTGTTTTAAAACTTTTCACTTTTCTGTGTCCATCATTTCAGATTTCCAGGTGTTTATAAATTCACTGTTTGCACCAATTCCTTCCATTATTTCTGCAGTGCTGCGGTGTATGATCGGACGAGTGTACAGACCATGCTGGTAGGCACGGGAGCTTCTCCTTCTCGAAGACATCGATGATCTGTTTCTCTGAAAAGCGTCTCCTTGTGCAAAAACTTAAACAAATAAAGGTTTATTAAACATGAAGCCTACATTATAATTCAATAAAAACTTCACCACCTGGTATAATGTAGGAATAAAGTGCAGTGATGAAATATGGACTCTTGGTTTGTTCAGCTTCCTCACATCCTCCCTGCTACTAGAGGTAAGACTCACTATGATGTAGGAAAATTAAATGTATGAGTCAGGATTGACGAGTTAGAGAAAAGTCAAAGTTTATATCCAAAAGATGAGACTTTTTTTCCCATCTTGCCCAAAAATAAGCTAAAGAATTGACATTGAAATTTACTAATTAAAGGGACATTATGGAAGTTTGACAGCCAAAACACGTATAGAAATAATAAATGTCTTCTTCATACATTATCCTGCAATGCCCTGGTCCTGTAGAATGAGCCCTGGCATTTTTACTGTGATTGCCTGTTTTTCTGTAAAATCACAGAAAAAGAGAGATGCTCGGGTCGAGCAGGCTGCTTCATGCGCGTTCACGCTCAGGCATAACCCGTAGCATTTGCTCTCCGTAGCTTTAGCAGCAGAGAGAGAGGCAGTGCCACTTTGTCGCTGTTCCTAACGCCTAGTGACAAAGCTAGCTACATTTCTGAGGACCCTTAGCTACTTTCTGTACAACTTTCTTCTAGATATTTCCTGCAAATTAGCAACAAAATAGACATTTTCACTTTGAACCGTTCTTTGGTTTGACGTTTCACGTGTCATCAAGGATATAAAAGTTACAGATACTATGAATGTTTCTAGAGTGTTGCTCACCTTGTAAGATGGCTGACTCCCATGCAGAAGACCTGGGTTTGATTCTGGGTGTGAACATAGTTTCTTTTTTACATTAATGGTATATTTTTTTTACAGTAAGATGCCCACATTTTTATTGGAGACTCGCCGAACGGCATTGAATTCACAGATAAAAAAATGCGGGTTCAACTTTCATTTTGGAACCATTTTTCAAGCAAGGGAAGGGAATGATCTGAGCATGCAGGAGGACTGACCCATCATAAACCTTTGTCGGCTGTGCTGAAGAGAAAGCTACAGAACCAAATTATTTAATTAATTAGCTGCGCGTTCTCCTGTCCTCTGTCCTCCGGGCCACACACACACACACGGGACTGTCAGCTGTTATTTTTGTTAAAGAGTGTGCACGTACAGCATGTGCGCCTCGTGCACGAGCCTACTATTGAAGCTGCTGTTACGCTTTTGGCCTGAGGGGGCAATCACGAGCATAAAAATTAAAAAGTCCTTTTAACTAACTTCTATCTTATATAACAGAACTGGTGATTGGGATAATGTATTTCAGTATGTAAAGTTGGCTCAAAGAAGACTAAATACCAACTAATAATGTTGTAGGTCTAAATATTAAGCCAAAGCAAAACATTAGTGACCTAGACGGCACTTTTCATTCTCTTGTATTTCTGCTTAATTTCCATCTTTTATATGCAGTTCATGAAAAGAGACGTTAAAGCTGCAATCCGGAGCTTCCTCGGAATTATGACTGTTTTAGAATTCCAAAAAAGTGGAATAATGTAGGAAACAGTGTCACTTTTGTTTTTGTTGCGCTTGCCCCTCATCCTATAGAGCCCCATAAATTGAGCGCCGATCAGCCTCAGCCAATAGCGTAAAACCTAGTTTACACTTCTGTCTGCAGAGTTAAAGAGATATGCCACGTCTCTGAGCATGTGGGCGGAGCAATGAAGTCTGGTGTCCTCCTTATATTAATAAACAAAGATGGCCGTGACTACTGTTGCTTTTGGATACTTTGATATGAACAGGAGTGGGAATTGATACGTTTTTACCAATATCGATGCCATTGTCGATTCTATCGATCCATATCAATTCCAGAGTAAATAGGTGGCAAAAAACTATTTGCACACGGTCTCCTGCATTATGACTGTCAGTTTATTTATTATCAATTGCATGTATCGGTTGGAAAAATCCTTCCAAATGTTCTTTATGCTCCTTGTGAAGGAAGAGTCATCTTCTTGCTGTAGCTTTTGCAAAATGGGAAAAATCTCACCACAGGTCGGACCTCTGTCGCTGGAGCCTGCTAGTGTGGAGGTGTACGAGACAAATGATGTTAACGTGATAAACAGTATTACTTGATTAGTTACCGATTTACCGGTCGATCTACCTCACCTATGGTCATGAGCTTTGGGTAATGACCGAAAGAACAAGATTGCGGATACAAGCGGCCGAAATGAGTTTCCTCCGTAGGGTGGCCGGGCTCAGTCTTAGGGATAGGGTGAGGAGCTCGGACATTCGGGTGGGACTCGGAGTAGAACCGTTGCTCCTCCGGATTGAAAGGAGTCAGTTGAGGTGGTTTGGGCATCTGGTCAGGATGCCTCCTGGACGCCTCCCTGGGGAGGTGATTCGGGCATGTCCTGCCGGCAGGAGGCCCCCGCGTCGACCCAGGACACGTTGGAGAGGTTACATCTCCAATCTGGTCCGGGAACGCCTTGGGGTCCTGCTGGAGGAGCTGGTGGAGGTGGCCGGGGAGAGGACGGTCTGGAGCTCCCTAGTTGGGATGCTGCCCCCGCGACCCCGATAAGCGGAGGAAGACGACGACAGTATTAACAGAAGAGGACGTGCAAACGTCATCGCTGCTGCGTTGAAATTCACTAGTCCAGAGCGGGTCAAAATATATCATCAACTTTAAGTTATGGCATATTTTGTGCACAAATGCTTTTTCACATTTGTTGTGTTTCCTCCCCTTGAACTTTGCAAGTTGTCCTGTTGTCATCCTTGCTTGTAAAATACAGCCAAGCCCTCGAGCGCACATATCTCTTGCTTGCGTGAGCTATGCAACGTGCACGGTGATGTCATTCGCACAGACTGGAATTGATAAGGGTAATCATTTGCAAAAGGGAAGAACGATTCCTAGGAATTTTAACTTTGGGAACCGGTTCCCACCCCTAAATGAAGCACACAGCTTCCTACTTCCTCTCACAGCAGTCTGTCCTTGAGCTCCAGTGGCTGGAGCGGCAAGTCTGAGCTGCAGTCCGAGAAGATGTTTACCCCACAGCATCAAAACTGATAATGCAGGAAGCCGCCGCTGGCTGTTTCTACCCGCCAGTCAGAAAGTCTAGTAGGTGGGGACGAACTTCAGCCAGCCAATCAGTCTGTAGTGGGTGTGCTGGGTCAGATCCACACCAAGCTGAGATCAGTGGACTCAGTGGTCTCCTTTAAAAAGCATGTGAAGACTCACCTGTTCAAGCTGGCTTTTGTATGACCTTCTTCACCTCTCTCTCTTTATTCTGCTCTCCCCACCTATTCCACCTTCCTCAGGATCCACTGATTTCCCTCTTTCCTGTTCACTTTCTCTCTTTCTTAACATTTTTTTAATCACAATTGCCTATTTTTGCTCATTTTAAATATATTTTTAAACATTTTCTAAATGCTTTTTTATATTTTTACATTTTTTGTTTTTGTGAAGCACCTCGTGATTTTATCTTGAGAGGCGCTACAGAAGTGATACTTTCTTCTTCTTCAAGCTGGCCGTCGGAGAGCAGGTCTACGAAAACAAGTCGGTTGAGCACGGAACGTGCACGTATTACCCATTTGTGAACACAATTAATCTACCAGAGCTAGACCGGGCCAACCCAAATGTGAATGACGTTGGATGTGCTAATACTAGTTTATCAGTTTAATTATAGATTCACTAGGATAAATACAAAAGTTTATCTTTCACCAAATAGAATATTTACTAAGACATCACAATATAACTATAGACACATTACTAGTCTTTGTGAGTGTGTGTGTGTGTGTGTCTGCTCTGTCTTCTCCATCCCCAGTGAGTCGTGGAGGATGGCTGTTTATACTGAGCCAGGATTCTCTGGAGGTTTCTTCCTGTTAAAAGGGAGTTTTCCTCTCCACTGTCGCTTTATGCTTGCTTAGTATGAGGATTGCTGTATAGTCACTGACACTAGTCAGTGACTTGATGCAATTTGCTGGGTTCCTTATATAGGAAACATTATTTCTGATTGGCTTAATGAACTGTCCTGAATTGGAATGTTTATTATGTGAAGTGCCTTGAGACGACTCTTGTCGTGATTTGGCGCTATATAAATAAACTTGAATTGAATTGAATGAGTAATAATCTATGGGCTACATAGCTGCTAGCTAGCACCATCACTCTGCTGTAGGGATTTCTGCAAACACGTGTCAGTTTATTGAAAGACAAAGACAAATATTGATTTTGACACAACTCTATCATAAAAAGACTCTAAATTACAGCACAGCCGACATTGTACTTCACAAGTTTATTAGTGCAAAACTAGTTTGTCTGCTAGTTACCTAGCAGCTAGCTAGCGGTCTCCTTGCTATGTATTAATGCTGATCAGCTGTTAACTTTGATCAGTTAATAGCAATGAAAGTTGGTGATGAACTTTTCATTAAAGTCTTTGCAAAAAAGAAAAATATTAAAAAATGTAAAATAATTAAATAAAGGAGGAACCACAATAGGAAAAACACAACAAGGACCAATCTTCAAGAGTTTAACATACTACATTTTTACAATCGTACCGTCACTGGTTGGTGAAAGTCGTGCCTAAACTCTAAAGAAGTTGGTTAGCTTCGCCTGTCCGGCTATTAGCTTCTTTTTATTTGAGGCCTTGCAGACGTTTTTGCTGGGCACTTTGACACACGAATGCTGTTTCTTCTCTGGAGGTTGATTCTCAGACCCGCTACGCTGGTCACAGTCCAGCTGCTTCCTCTTGTTCTGCATCTGAATGCCAGCTTTCTTCTTATTCCTTGGCCCTGCACCCGCATTTTGAGCATTTCCACTTCTTTGCTCGAGAGCAGCCTCCCGCCGTGCCTCACCGGGCTCTTTTGTCCAGCATCCACGGGACGGCTTGGCTGCACAGTTGAAAAAAAGCAAGACCAAGTTTAAGGAGTAGGAATAAAAACAAAAATAAAATAAAAAAATAAAATAAACGCACACACTGTGACAACATGGCTGACGCTTGCAGCTAGTCCAGGCAGGCTTTGTGTTTCTTTCTGAGAAGGTGAAGTTAAACGTTTGGATTCAAGCTCCTGCAAATTTGCATGACAAAGTCCCGCAGAACGAGGCAGAGGAAAACCGGGCAACATGCGTGTGTGTGCCTTGTACATTTTACTACAGAAGAGGGGGTTATCAGGTTTTATAGTACTGAGATTAATTTAATGGCTGATGGTAAGCACCAGTCCCAGAGTAGGGAATAGGAAAGGTTTGCGGCCTGAGTTGGGAAGGTGTGCCAGGGCCGTTGTCCAGCTGTGCAGAGCTAAAGGAATCTTTGAAGCATTTTCAGCATCTAAATTCGTACCTGTGGTCGCATCTTCCACATCAAGGCTGAGCTCATCATCCACACTTGGGGTCATTTTTGGCTTAGGGGCTGGGTGTACACAAGTAGGCGCCTGGCTGGTACTCAGGAAGTCCAGCGTCCGGTTCAGCGGTGGCTCTTCATCTTTGTATGTGCAGGCAAACTGGGATCGAATGAGCCTGTCTCGGGCCTGAAACGAACAAGAAAACATCCATCCATCCATTTTCTGAACCCGCTTTGTCTACTTAGGGTCGGGGGGGGGGGTGCCCATCTCCGGCGGTCAATGGCAATTAGGTGGGGTACACCCTGGACAGAGAGCCAGTCTTTCACAGGGCAACACAGAGACACACAGGACAATCATGCACACACACACACACACCTAAGGACAATTTAGACAGACCAATCAACCTAACAGTCATGATTTTGGACTGTGGGAGGAAGCCGGAGCACCCGGAGAGAACCCACGCATGCACAGGGAGAACATGCAAACTCCATGCAGACAGATCCCAGGCTGGGAAGCGAACCCAAGACCTTCTTGCTGCAAGGCAACAGCTCTAACCACTGCACAGCACAAGAAAACATCTCAAATCCAACGACTGCGTCAGGCTAGCTGGCTAAACATACAGCACCAGGCAAACCTGGAAGTTGTGAAGCAAAAGGTTAAAAGTCCCTGGAATTTTTCCTCGAGGGGACACGGCCGTTTCTGCCAAACGCCTCACCATTCAAAACCCGAGATTTCGAAACATTTCAAAGTCCACAAACATCAAATGAAGGTGGAACGACGTCGAGCGCGAAGGAAATGGGAATCTCCAGAGTAATTTGCATGATTTACTGCGTATTCAGCTATTGTGACAGGAATCTGATTCATCACAGCGAGTTACCCAAGCAAAAGTAAAAACACGCCGATTCCGATCGGCATCAGTGAGTCACCGATGGCGGGGGTTTTACCTGGATGTTTTCTAACAACAAAAAGGAGCCAAACCTTTTAACACAACAACAGATAAGAGGGAAAGAGGAGTGACAGGTAATTAAAATGTTCCTAATTAATCAACCATTATCCCACACAGACCTGTTGATGTCTTTCCACCCTCGCAGTTTGTGAACGGATGACTTTAAGTAGGAAAATCCCCAAAATGTACCTCGTGTACTTGCTTGGTTGGGAATTGTTATAGTTTTGGATGTTCTTTTTAAGTATTTGAGCTCTTGTATCTACTATTTTATTAGTCACACCTTTAAATACCATTTAAAAGCTTGGCCTTTATTAACCCTATAGAAAAGCTTCTTTGTTGTTAAATCATTTATAAGCTGCAGATGTGTGTGAACATCTGTTTCACGGTCTTTATATGAAGGTTTTGAGTTTTTACCTCAACTTTTTAAAAGGAAAATCCCTGGATTAGATCCAAATGAATGAATTCTTATATATTTAGCTAACCCTTTTGCTAAAATATGTTGATAATTTATAGTTGTTCAGGCTTTTGCTCATTAAAATGGTCTTTAATCGAAAAGAATAGCTATGGCTATAAGGAAGTGAATAAAATCTGAGGCGTTGATCCCCCACCCCAGAACACAAATCCTCAGCTTTTCATCCAGTGTTTGATCTACATCTGCTCGGGATTATCCCAATCCCGGGATTTCACCCTTCAGGCCAATGGGTCAGAGTAGTGAGAAGAAATCTGAAGGTGGAAAGAAAACAAAAAGTCCTCAAATAAAAGTTGCGTGAGATCTTACTGAGCAGAGGTGTAGAGACTTGATGCTCTTCAAGAAAAAATAAGAAAACTCCTGGATTGAATCATAAATATATTAAAGGAAACATCTAAAGTCATGGATTGAAGAGTGAAATGCAGCGTAGCCATGTGGTCCGACGATGCACCTGACCCAGCACCAGAGACACCTGACCCGACACATTCCTGGGAGTATTAAGGAAAAACAGGTGCCGGCCGATTCTGCAGCCTCTGATGTTGGCTCCCACACACAGGTAGAACAAGTAGGAGATGCAGCATCGCCAACAGAAACGAATCCAGTTCTTTGGAGGAATGAAATGCTTACGCAGTTGGGATTTTAATGCGTTTTCCTCCTCCACACTGAAATTAAATTCCAGTGCAGCCTTTCCGTGCTCAGATCATCTGTCTGCAACGAGGAAACGGATCTGGAAATGCTCCAGAAATAGAAACTAAAGCTGATCCATCTCCACGCACGTGCCCGTTTGACGTCAGTGCACGATGATGAAATCGCCGGAGAACTCCTGAATCAAAGTCACCTAGACGACGGGAAACGATAACTTTTTGCGTTTCCCCTCGCTAGACTGACATGACATCTTCAAAGTGGAGCTGATGCAGAGAGCTTCCGCTCCCAGAGTTCAGGAAGCGGTGAGCTGCCCAGGGAGCATTACGGCACACTCAAACAGGAAGGTGGCCAGATGGTGGGGAGCTAAAATGACATCTGGTAGTGCAATCAAAGAAAAGAAACCGTTCGCTAAACATGTTCAACACATAAAGAGAAGAAAGGGGGTTCACCAGGTGATTAGATCAGGTCTGAGCTAAAAAACAGTTTGTGTGACCCAAGAATAGTGAACGATGCACTCATGAAAACGTTTTGAAACCAAACTTAATTAGATTTTATAAATATTACAACACTGATTTTTTTTATTCTCAAAGCTCTAAAACCATTTTACCCTAATGGCAGCCAAACAGAGGCTGGAACACCCCCAAAGTACAAACTGTTCTACGCAAGTACACACATAACCAATACGCAGGCGTACACGTGTGACAAAAATAACGCCCGTGTAATACTTTCTTTGCCATGACACCTTCAGGAGAAATTCCCCTAAACAATGCGTGTTTCACCAACTACGATCACCATGAAAGCTGAAACATCGTGCGACGGTGGCACAGGAGTTAAGTGCTCGCCCCGTAATCGGAAGGTTGCTGGTTCGCGTTCCGCTCAGTCTGTCGCTGTCGTTGTGTCCTTGGGCAAGACACTTAACCCACGTTGCCTGCTGGTGGTGGTCGGAGGGACCGGTGGCGCCAGTGCTCGGCAGCCTCGCCTCTGTCAGTGTGCCCCAGGGCAGCTGTGGCTACATTGTAGCTCATCCCCACCAGTGTGTGAATGTGTGTGTGAATGGGTGAATGACTGATTGTGTTGTAAAGCGCCTTGGGGGGTTCCAGGACTCTAGAAGGCGCTATATCAAATACAGGCCATTTACCATTTACCATTTACCATTATGGCAATCGTGACAACAATGGTGAGCAATTGCACAGTTCTCCACGGGGTGTATAACAAACAACAGCATCCTGCAAATGTCCACGGAGGGGGAGGGGTTACTGGAAGACAAGATGAACTGTTCTCTACAGTGGCCCAAGTGAGCCCAAGTCACACCCATCTACTTCTACGGGTCCTTGGAAGAACAGAAAAATGAATGCAAGTCAACGGGGCTAAAAACGCTATTTTCTAACTCTGCTTGTAAAGCTTGGTTTATGCTTGACGCGCCCGCGAGGTAAGCGCGGCTCCACGAGGCAAAATTGCGTCATTTTAACAACTACGCCCCTCCACCGCGCCTCCGTACGGCCCAAACTTTCCGCACCGCGCACCTAGGAAATTTTCTAACCACGCAGACGGTCGGACGCGGAAAAACATGGTGGACCGGCAAGAACTAGTATGGCAGAGGTTCGTAAATACAGACATTTGTATGATTCAGCTCTCAAAGATCACCGTGATCAACATGTTGTTAATAATTCTTGGAGAGAAATAGCTCGCACTGTCGGAAAAGACGAGGACGCTGTTAAAAATGCTGGAATGCCATGTTGTAAACAACAGTCATTTTTACTTCTACTATGGTGTAGTGTTGGGTGCATGCCGTAGAGCTCCATGCTGCCCCCTACAGTTTGGGAGAATATTGGCTCACCGCAGAGACAAGCCGCACGAACCATAAACGCTGCAAGTTGTGAATCGCATTCCATCCGCGAGCCGCGTCACCAAGCGGAAAGTAAATGCGTCAAGCATAAACCAAGTTTTATGCGCCATGCATTTCACACATGATGTCCATGAATTTTAAACATGCATCTTGATACCAAGAAAGCTCTTTTTCTCAACCTATTTACAAACTACCAGACTCCTAAAAAGAAAAACACCATTTGAAGTCACGGACAACAAAAGAGGCTCGGAACTAGAAAAAGGTGACTGGTGTTTAGCGTTCTCTCGTCTCCTCCAGCATCACAGGTTTCTGGTTCCGGCAAAAGCATCTCTGGGAACATACTTGACGGGAGGGGTGAGTATTCCCGTGACCTAGCTTGTTTGCAGATTTGCTATAACAGCTTTAAGTCAAACAGACAACAGCAAATCAGCTGTAATTTGGGTCTTAAAGAGGCTGAAAACATAGAATTTCAGACTAATCAGAACAAATTTTGCATTTTAATTTCTGTGAACTCCACAACGAACGCCTAAAGTAGATACACTTAAAGAGCAAGTCACTCCAAACCAACCTTTTTTTTGCTGGTTAACTATATAAATGAGTGTCTGATTGTGTTGTAGACATGTAATAATAATAATAATACATTTTATATAGGAGACGCCTTTCTGGTCACTCAAGGACACTGTACTGAATAAAACCCCAAATCATTCAATAAAACAAAAGTAGACATAAGTACAACATAAGCAAAACAAAGATAACAAACAAGGCACTCTAAAATTCTAAGTTAATATGTGGTTATGAAGAGGTGACTTTTGAGTTGGTTTTTTTTATTCTGTGAATGAGTTCATGTTCTTGATGTGAGGGGGAACATGTGCAGTCAATAATTCGGCACTTTAGTGCATCTTAGTTAAAATTGAAATATTCTGCCTAAAACTGTCAGTGTTGCGCTGTCGTCAGGCAAAAACCTAGCACTTCATTTAAATTTGAATCTGACATCGCTATTGGCCAAGTGGTACACTATGATGTTAGATGATACATTATGATGTCACAACGTTGTGAGTGTGTGTATTTGTTAGCGGCTCCGCCCTCTCAGTCTGCTAGGCTACAGCCTTTGTTGCATTTTTCAAGCAGGAAGTGGGAGTTGAGAAAGAATCTGGCAGGGGGTGAATTGCTCTTTAAATACTACTTGGTGTATTGGGGACGATGGCGGGGGTGGGGGGGTATTTGGAGCCAGGATCCTCTGGAGGTTTCTTCCTGTTAAAAGATTTTTCCTCTCCACTGTCGCTACATGCTTGTTTAGTATGAGGATTACTGTAAAGCTTCTAACACAACAAGTCAGTACCTTGATGCTAACTGCATGGTTCCTTATTTAGGAAAGTGTTAAATAACTGGCTTAATGAACCGACTTGGAATAGTGACTTTGTGAAGCGCCTTGAGACGACTCGTCATGATTTGGTTTTACATAAACAGAATTTACTGGCCATAAATAGTTCCTACATTACCTACGATGCAACACGGGACAAACATTTTACACTGGAGTGAAAACAGCCACTAAAGTCCAACTTCATTCTGTGATCGTTTCCATCAGACTTCACACGCATGTATGTTCCAGAATCTGCCAAACACTTGTGTGTTTCACGTGTGAAAACCAGTTGGGATACTCGCTACCACTATTGTGACGAAGACGCATAGCGAGTGGAACATTTCACAGCTGAATTTAGAATTACCGCCCTGCGGTTACTTGCCTCCGTCAGCCGGACCAGTTTCAGTTTACATCCATGTCTGCCTCCGTTCCCGAGTCAGGGCACTGAATAATAACCAGGAAAGTGTTTTTGCAGAGCACCACAATGTCACTGGGAAGTTTTCATTTCGTGGTTTCCTGGTAAACATGTGTGCAAAAAAGTAAATAAAATAATAAATTAAAACTACCATAAAAGGTTAAACTGGTCTCTGGGGGTTAATTGGTGGAGTTCAAACGGACGGTTGTTGTGCAAAACCTTAAGCCGTTTGTTACGTCCTCTATTGGTGGATAAGGAGAAGGACGGGGAGTAACACAGAGGCGTGTGTTTCAGGTGTTAAAATTGTAAACAATGATTTCATTAAAAGGATTTTAAAATGACAAAAAGCTCCAAATCTAAAAGTACTTCAAACACAGTGTCAAAATGGCCATGGGTTTATGTTTAAAACAGACATCCGAATGCTCCCAAACATTCACACACTAAGTCCACTGACTACACACAAGTTCGGGAGCCAAGAGGAAACCAGCACTCTGGTCCCTCGTCTGTTAAAAACCTCTAAAAGTTGTTAAGCTTCACCATGCTTAAAACAACTAAAACCCATTTAAAAGCCATTAAAACACAAACAAATGAAGCACATGAGAGAAGTGGCACAGATCCCGTCTCTCCCTTCCTCCTGGCAGCTCTGCCTTTTGTGCTACTCAGGAGGTGATCAGCCCAAGTGTGTGCAGCTGTGCAGGTAGGAGGAGGAGGAGGCAAAGCACTGATTGTCCTCTGCAGAGTCAGCTTTCTGGGACAAAACAGCAACAGCTGTAACTATGGCCTCGTTCGAGTTGAGCAGCACCTCGCCTGGAAACCAGACGAGAGCAGACGGAAGCAGCAGGGGGAGTGGCTGAAAGCCGGCGTTTAAGTCGGACACAATTTCCTGCATGTGTAGCTCGCGGGCGACGATGGCTGGAGATATCGCGTTAGCGTTCACACTTGTTTAATTTTCAATTTTAATTCTGGTGCCTGTCAGCAGCTGAAACACATCCTCACGTGCTTGTGGATATCATATAATGTATATGGAGACATGACTGTAATAGTAAGTAAAGGTTATCAGCTGTAGGTTCAGTGTGTTCATAGAAAACGTGACAAAATAACACAAAACACATTTCTCTTTATGGCCTCTATAGTTGTCATCATCAACGTAACATGATTTACAGAATACACGTGACCAACTAACATTTCATGTTCTACCACCGGATGTTTGGATCAAAATTTGAACCAATCAGATCTTAGATCAGGTGAGAGCCAGGCGTTTCCCCGTCATCTAGGTTTAGCAGCCGAGGGAGAGCAACTGCAGCGCCTTGCTCCAAAATCTGTGGCCGCCTTGATCTCACGAGGTTATTGTTGCCTACGTATGCATGACGTCAGAGCAAGTCGGCGTCAAGTCGGACACAAATCTAACCGGCATGCACTGCTCGCCGATCACCGGTGATCTAATCTGCGCAGAACTGGCTCATCTCGAACACAGCCAATGTTTCATCAGGTGTTTTTTTTTTTTTGTTTTTGTTTGGACAATTTACCAAAATTGTGATGGAAAATAAAAATAATTATCAGCGGCACACAGACTTATTTAAGTCCAACGACAGAAAACATCAAACTGGAAAAAAATGTAAACAAAAGCTGCCGCCAAGTAAAACAGAAAGAAACGGAGCCATGTTGGTAAAACTATGTAGTACACAAACAGGGCCTGACAACAGAATATGGTAAATGGTCTGTATTTGATATAGCACCTTCTAGAGTCCTGGGACCCCCCAAGGCCCTTTACAACACAATCAGTCATTCACACACTGATGGTGATGAGCTACGATGTAGCCACAGCTGCCCTGGGGAGCACTGACAGAGGCGAGGCTGCCGAGCACTGGCGCCACCGGTCCCTCTGACCACCATCAGCAGGAAACGTGGGTTTAGTGTCTTGCCCAAGGACACAACGACAGCGACAGACTGAGCGGGGCTCGAACCTGCAACCTTCCGATTACGGGGCGAGCACTTAACTCCTGCGTCACCGTCGCCCATATAATAACCTAGAATAACCTATCAGGAACGGTTAATGGTTCGAGTCCCCCACAAATAATTCATTTTATGCCCTGGATTCAAAATACACACTTAAACCGACACTAGGAGCTAAAACGCAGCTGTGCAAACGAGAACAGTGGAAGTCAGTTGTGAGCTTCAGCTAAGCAAATAAATAATACAATACCAGGGAGAAATCACAGGACGTAAAGATATTAGTTTCACTGTTTGCACTTTGGATTCAATTTGAGGTAACCGATGGTTTGGATTCAGGGGTGTGTGTTACCTTGGGTTTGAGAAGGTTCAGCCGGCTCTGGACTCTGTTCCTCAGGGGTTCTGGAGAACATCCAGTCGGCACTTCTGGGGATCTGTGAAGAACGCCACAATGAGGGGTTTATAAATTAGAGAAGCTAAAAGCTTCGACATGCTCGCACTAATCAAGAAATTGTCCCACCTCGTCTAAAAAAACACCGCTTCAGCAGCTTCACGTTTAAAACATGTAAAAATAATCTTCACGAGCATCGATATCATGCAGCAGATACAAACACAGCCCGTAGCTACTAATTTATAGCATTTTTATTACAGATGTTTCAGCAGATAAACTGTTCCAGTGTCACGTGGGAGGATTTTCCTCTGTGCGGTTTCATCGCGAGTCTCACGTTGGTCTGACTTGCTTCAGGGGGTTTCCCGTTCTCAGAGTATAAATATAGTCTAACTTAATTCAAACTCCACAGGACGACTTTTTCATTGTGAAGCACAAAATTTAGATTTCTGTCCTTTTTCCAGAATGGACTCCAAGATATTAAAAAAAAAAAAACTTACTCTAGACTTTTCTGAGGGCAAACTGTAGTCCAGGAAGAAAATCTATTTGTTCTTTAAAAAAATTTTTTTTAGTCATTCAAAAGCACCAAACATTTTTAAATGTTCCTTGACTAATAATGATACATTCATCATACACAAATAAATGACCAAAGATTAGAGATGTCTGATATTATTGTTATTATATTGGCATTAAAATTTATATTGAAGAATATCATCGACCTTCAGTCTTTTGATGACACAACCGTTATATTTGTTTATGTTTATGTATTTAGCAGACACTTTTGTCCTAAGTGACTTACAAGTGATAATCAACATGTTGCCATTGAGGCTAACAACAACAACAATAACAACAACTTGACATCAATCATGAGAGGAGGGAACAAGGAGGGGACGGTAGAGAGGGGGGACGGGTGCAGGGAGGGTGCTAGTTTAGAAGATGCTCTCTGAAGAGCAGGGTCTTCAGGAGTTTCTTGAAAATTGAAAAGGAAGCCCCTGTTCTGGTAGTGCTTGGTAGGTCATTCCACATTTGTGGAACGATGCATGAGAAGAGTCTGGATTGTCCTGAGCGTGGTGTAGGCACTGCTAGCCGACGATCCTGTGATGACCGGAGCGGCCGGGGCCAGACGTAAGCCTTTGCAAGAGGATTCAGGTAGATGGGAGCCGTACCATCTCGGACTTTGTATGCTAGTGTTAGCAATTTGAATTTGATGCGTGCTGCTAGCGGTAGCCAGTGGAGCTCAATGAACAGAGGGGTGACGTGTGCTCTTTTTGGCTGATTGAAGACCAGACGCGCCGCTGCATTCTGGACCATTTGAAGAGGTCTCACAGTACAGTCTGGAAGACCAGTTAGAAGGGCATTGCAGCAATCGAGGCGGGAGATGACAGTAGATTGCACCAGGAGCTGGGTGGCATGTTAGGTATGGTCTGATCTTTCGTATGTTATACAGCACAAAGCGGCATGAATGAGCAACAGAGGCAACATGATCTTTAAAGGTCAGGTGTTCATCAATCACAACACCCAGATTTCGAACTGCCTTTGAAGGAGCCAGAGATAGGAAGTCATTTTGGATTGAGATATTGTGCTGTATGGATGGTTTTGCTGGGATGACGAGTAGTTCAGTTTTAGAGAGGTTGAGTTGGAGATGGTGGGATTTCATCCATTTTGATATGTCAGAGAGACAGTTTGATATTCGAGCAGAGACAGTGTGGTCGTCCGGTGGAAATGACAGATAGAGCTGGGTGTCGTCTGCATAGCAGATTAGCGATGGGCAATATATAGCATCAATATCGGCCGATGTTAGTCATTTTTTAACATATTGTATCGGTTCTATGAATAAAACCGGGCCGCTATTAACAACCGCTACTTTTCCCATCTCGTCTCCATTTGTTTGCCTGTTTCAGAGGGTGAGGAGGGTGATGTGTATTTGTTTAGTCATGTGAACAGTGAATGAATAATCTCAGAACCATAAGTGTGTGTGGTGTGTGTACATAATAACGTAAATTCAGCTTTAATAATGTTCATTCTATGCAAAATTTGCTGATTTTAGAAGCATTAATGTTAGTATATCGGTATCGGCAAATATCGGTTATCGGCCATAACAGCGATCTTAATATCGGATATCGGACCAAAAATTTCATATTGGTGCATCACTAATACACATATATCAGACTCTTCAGTGACAGATCTGAGGTAAACTTTTTGAGATGTTTTAGTGTAATCGGCACAACCTGCGAGTAGAAATTTGTTCTGCAAGGTGAACGTATGCCGTCCTCACAGCATGTAGCTATGTGTAGCTAGCCCGCTAACAAACGACAAACAAAAACAAGAAGCTTCAACTAAGGCTTGCTTTTCTCATCTAAAGATCTTTATAAATGTTTATCACCATAACTGCAAAAGAAAAAATACAAAACCAATTCACAAATCTTAGCATCACGCTTAAGAATGAGATTTAGATGCTGCTGGAGACTAAGAGAATATGGCCTTTTTCCTGTTACTGCTAAGTAGACGTAATTTTGCACAGAAAATGTTTTACATTTAAGCAAGATAGGAGATACGAGATATTAGTAACCTAAAATTATAGTTTTTGTTTTGTATGAGAGGGAGACAGCATTTATTGATATCGTTTTATATCGATATCAGAAATTAATAGACAGTCAATATTGGTAAATCTGATATGCTAACCACTTAAACATTCTCCCTCTCCTGATAATAACATTTTACTTTCTTTGACGTTGAATGTGCTACTACTAGTTTACCCGTTTAATTATAGATTCACTAGGATAAATACAATAAAGTTTATCTCTCGCCAAATAGAATATTTACTATGAAATCACAATGTAACCATAGGGTGCCCATCTCCAGCGGTCAACAGGCAATCAGGCGGGGTACACCCTGGACAGAGAGCCAGTCCATCGCAGGGCAACACAGAGATACACAGGACAAACAACACACACACACACACACACACACACACACACACACACACACACACACACACACACACACACACACACACACACACACACACACACACACACACACACACACACAATTTGGACAGACCAATCAACCTAACAGCCATGTTTTTGGACTGTGGGAGAAAGCCGGAGAACCCGGAGAGAACCCACGCATGCACAGGGAGAACATGCAAACTCCATGCAGAAAGATCCCAGGCCGGGAAGCGAACCCAGGACCTTCTTGCTACAAGGCAACAGCTCTAACCACTGCTCCACTGCGCAGCCCACTTTAAAGATGATTCTAGAAATAATAATTTTTACTACTGATGGTGAGTTCTCAGACTAAGAACAAAAAATGGGGTTATTTAATCCTGCTGCTCAGGAATCCTATGTTCACATCCCAGGAAAAAAAACAAAAAAAACAAATTAAAATCAAACAGTTGAATTTAAGACAGACTGATGACCAAATCTTGAAAATTAGCCGATTCCTATCCTTTTTGGGATATCCGTTATAAATCTACAAGATAATGTTGACTGCACAATCTAAAGCTTTTTCATTAATGCATTTTATTATGTATTTCAATAGAACGTGTTTATCCCTCAGGCTTCACTATAACTTGCTCTTGAGCCCTTAGAGGACAAAAACATCTGAGCTCTCATAAAAACTAAGAAATAAGTAATTAGCTCCATTTTTGTTTCCAACTTTTTATTAATTAAAGGGACTTTATGGACTTTTGAATTTTTATGCTCGCAATTGCCCCCTCAGGCCAAAAGCGTAACGGCAGCTTCAATAGGAGGCTCGTGCACGAGGCGCGAATGCTGTACGTGCACACTCCTTAACGAAAATAATAGCTGAGACACAGAGGTGGAAAGTAACGAATTACATTTACTCACTTCACTGTAATTGAGTAGCTTTTTTGTATATTTATACTTTTTAAGTCGTTTTTAAAAGCTGTACTTTTACTTTTACTTGAGTAAGTTTTTTAAAAAGAATTGTAATTCGCTACATTTTAAATCATATCCGTTACTGAGTAAAAATAAATTGTAGGCTTAATAAACTAAAAATATTACGTGTAGCAGCGTCGGAACAGAAATAGACACCTGCATGAGCGCCACGTCTAAACCGTTGGGGGTGTGTGGGTGTACACTTTTGCTCAAAGACATCAGTTCAGTTCCTCAACTCGCTTTTTACCTCCTCTCTCCCTCCTCTCCTGTGTGTTGGATCCCGCACCTTCGCGCACCGGTGTTACGTCATCAGAATTCTGCTCGGTTCGGTAGCCGGACTCGGTTCCGTGTTTGAATTGTGTTTCCCTACCGCTCCGCACGGAAGCAGCAAAATAACGTTTAGCGCTCATAACAAGCGGATTCTCAGCGCTCTGCTCATAAAACAGAAGACCTGCAGGCCTCTGTGAGTTAAAACATCCTGATGCTGTTCAGGTGTAAACATTGAGCTCCATCCCTGTGTTTGAACTCAGAAGATGCTCCTTGATGCCACAGATATGTGATGATTTAGCTTGTTTCTTTATTTTAGTCCAGAATAAGAGATTAAATTATTACAAAAGCAGTCCAGTGTAGTTAAATTAGTCATTCAAATGATTCGAACATGCTGCAGTGTGTGTGTGTGCACGCGCGCTTGCGTGTGCATGTGCGTGCGTGCATGTGTGTGTGTGTTACACGTATAGAACTGCATGAGACAGCAAGGTTTCATCAAATCCATGTATCCTATATCTTGACTGAAGTAACGGCTCAGGAAAATACCCTCTATTTCATAAATAATGACGTCAGTGTCTACGATAATGTTTTATCTTATATTGAACCTATCTTTGGTCTGGGAGGTGTAACTTATCATGATACTAGCCTTTTAAAGCATGTTAAAGTGTTACAAGAGGAGATAAATGCATGAATTTAAAGTTCATGTTTGGAGACCAACCTTCACAGACTGGCTCACGTGGTGAGGAGACACCATTAGTTCTAGTAACACCTGGGCTCCCAAGGCCTCTTCTGATAGGATGGACGTTACGGGACCCTTAAGGATTCCAGTTGGATGATTGGAGGATTATTTAGGAGGATTGGAATGAACTAACTGATTTCAGTGGTGAAGGGTTAAATGAGTGAGTGAACCCACCACCTAGGATGAACTCTGCTAACTTTAAAAATCAGCTGCTCTAAATAAGCATGAAGGTCAGAGAGGAGCTCTAGGATGGACATGAATAAAGGAACTGTAATGTAGAGGTAAAGTAGGGCAGGGCCAACGTTAGCAGCTGTCATACGCTCCATCTGAAATGTTTGACTGCATTAGGCTTGTTATGTGACAGGTTAGAGCACAGTCTCATGTTAGAGTTTTGTCATGAAAACATTGAGATACCTCACACACTGATGGCATCTAAAAAATATTATTTTTTCTCAATATAAAAAATAATTGTAATCACAAATGAAACCTACAATCGTAGAAAAACCTCGTCCAATCAATGTGCACGTCCTGTTCTCACTGATTGGATAGAAATCCCTCCTTCAAGCTGTGCGTGTTTGAGAGAGTGTGTGTGTGTGTGCGTGTGTGTGTGCGCGCGCACACACGAGCGAATTGTGAACTGGCGTTGTGATTTAGCACTACTTAGATGTAGCCATCCTTACGCTGACAAAAATGTAACTAAGTAACTTTTACTTTGAGTACATTTTGTTTACGATACTTTTTACTTTTACTTGAGTAAAAATTTAGGCAAGTACTTTTACTTGTAATTGAGTAAAAAAATTATCAAAGTATTGGTACTCGTACTTAAGTAGGAGATTTTAGTACTCTTTCCACCTCTGCTGAGACAGTCCCTTGTGTGTGTGTGTGTGTGTGTGGCCCGGAGGACAGAGGACAGGAGAACGCGCAGCTAATTAATTAAATAATTTGGTTCTGTACCTTTCTCTTCAGCACAGCCGACAAAGGTTTATGATGGGTCAGTCCTCCTGCATGCTCAGATCATTCCCTTCCCTTGCTTGAAAAATTGTTCCAAAATGAAAGTTGAACCCACATCTTTTTTTATCTGTGAATTCAATGCTGTTCGGCAAGTCTCAAATAAAAATTTGGCCATCTTCAAGGGCGTCAGTTTGTTTTCAGAATTGCTGGGGACAATAACCATACACTTGAGTGGGGTTTAAAATTTGCTGGGGACAATAAAGTAGGCTAGCACAGGGGTCGGCGGCTCTGGAGCCGCATGCAGCTCCTCCATCCATCTGATGCGGCTCTCTGTGTTTGTAAAATAATGAATGGATATTTAAATAAAAAGCTTTATATTTTACTGCATTCATTTTACATCTGTATGCCAATTCTAAATGTAAAGATTGTCTGCGTAAACCTGAACAGTTCCAACCCGGTCTTACTGTGAGACCGGGTTGACGCGTCACGCTTGTGCGTAATCATATGCGCTTCCTGAGCTGGAGGATGTCAGATTCTGGGCTTCTCCTCAGACAGGCTCCTGGATGCGTCGCCACATTGGAGACAGGAACAAGCACTATTCAGCCAAAGTTTCATAATCAGGTGTGGCAGTGTGAGTGTCCTGTCACAGTGTCCCGATAGATAATGCGCCCTGGCTACTTGGCCAAGGGGATGTCCATTTGGCTGACTGGTTAGAGCGTATGACTCTCACCCAGGAGTCTGGGGATCGAATCCCGCCCGGGCCCTCGTTGCTCCATCTTGCCACATATTGACGGATAAACTCAAGGATGTTGGTCTTTTTGAAAGAATTACCCCGACGCACACTGATGCGCATGGATGAGCTGACATTTTAATCGTTAACACACATCGTGGAGGTAACTTGATTCCCATCAGAACATCAGAGCTTTATACTGGACACTGTGTTCAGCACGGCTCGGAGCGAACACGGTGGACAGTGGGCTGAAGATCTGAGGGGTTCGCAGCGCAGTGCAGAACCACGTGCATGCGATGATTTCCTCCCACTGAAGCGGTCTGGAAACCCGGTCTCTCTGAGGGATGTGTCACTTGGAAAAATGTTCTTTTTATGAAATTATGAAACTTTGGCTGAACAGCTCTTGTTCCCGTCTCTAATATGGAGACGCATTACGCATCCAGTCTGAGGCAGAATAGCTCTTCAGCTCAGCAAGCACCTGTAGAGATATTTGATCACGCACAAAGTTTATGTGGAGCAGAAGAGGTCGGGCCACGGCAGGTGGAATGTTCCTAGCCTACATGAAGTGAAACATTAATATGTTACTGGACACGCTGGTCTGGTTGGTTAGACCAGTGTTTGAAGTGGAAAACACACACACACACACACACACACACACACACACACACACACACACACACACACACACACACACACACACACACACACACACACACACACACACACACACACACACACACACACACACACACACACACACACACACACACACACACACACACCAATTAAAATAATGCTGATAGCGTGGACTAGAAGACAGGTGATGGTTTACGTATTTAAATGATGATCAGGCTGCTGTAAAATGTAATCTCCATCCACATCCAGACACAATTATCCTCTATTCTTTCTCTAGTTGCTCTGCTATTGTCTGGGCCGATAGCTGACGGTGCGCGCGACGCGCCTAACTAGCGGCTGAAGCACATTTTACGCATTTGGAGAGGTGGGCTGGATGCTCTGCTTTTACTGGAAGATGGTCCACTTAACGCACGGGTGTAGACTAATTAATGACAAATGAATGAAAATTAAATTGTGAGTTTTTACTTCATATTTTATAAATAAAAATGACGGGGGAACACATTTATGACGTCTTTTTAAACTAAATTTTCTAGCGCGACCTGCCTGCTTCACTAAGTCACTGCTTATTAAGGTCCGTCCAGAATTACCGTGGCCCACCCAAAAATGAAAACCTGGCGCTGCGCCTGTTATAAACCTCTGCAAATTGTTGTTCTTCACTTTATCAAACTCAGACTTTGTACAGCTAATGTCAAGATGTAAAATTATGAATTCAGTCGAGCTCTTCCGTCCCTCCCTCTCCTGCTCTCCTGGAAACCCGACATCGGCTGTCAGAAGCCGGAGATGAAGGAGGAGATGAGGCAAACAGAGTGAGTGCGACGTAAAGAAACCAGACTGGTGTGGAGGTGAGCAAAACAGAAGGAAAGGTGTGGGTGTTGAATCCCCCACGGCTGCTGTCACCTGGTTGTGAGCAGCGCTCTGCTGTGAGGGTAGGCCCGCCCACAACGCTGTGGCTCCCAGTGTTTTCTTTACTGTGGGAAACGGGTAATAATGGCTCTTTGATGGGAACAGGTTGCCGACCCCTGGTATAAGATCTGAGCTGGTAAAACAAAAATCCTCATCAGCAGGCTTTTTTAAAGTGGGGGGACACAGCTGCCAATCAAAAATTTTGCCGGGGACATGTCCCCGGCGTCCCCGGTTAAAATGACGCCTATGGCCATCTTACTGTAAAAAAATATACCATTAATGTAAAAAATAAACTCTAAATGAACTATGTTCACATCCAGAATCAAACTCAGGTCTTCAGCTGAAACAACGTCAAACCAAAGAACAGTTCAAAGTGAAAATGGCTATTTTGTTGCTAATTTGCAGAAATATCTAGAAGAAAGTTCTACAGAAAGTAGCTAAGGGTCCTCAGAAATGTAGCTAGCTTTGTCACTAGGCGTTAGGAACAGCGACAAAGTGGCACTGCCTCTCTCTCTGCTGCTAAAGCTACGGATAGCAAACGCTACGGGCTATGCCTGAGCGTGAACGCGCATGAAGCAGCCTGCTCGACCCGAGCATCTCTCTTTTTCTGTGATTTTACACAAAAACGGGCAATCACAGTAAAAATGCCAGGGCTCATTCTACAGGACCAGGGCATTGCAGGAGAATGTATGAAGAAGTCATTTATTATTTCTATACATGTTTTGGCTGTCAAACTTCCATATAGTCCCTTTAAATATCAGAATCAGGAAAACATTTACTTGCAACTCTGCCTCTTCTCTTCAACTCAAGCTTCCATTCACTCTAAATAAACAGAATTTTATTTTACTTCTTAACATGTGTATACAGAAAGAGGGTTTTCTAGGACCTCATATCTCTAACTTTACCTACTGAATTATAATCTGACCAGTTCTTTCACCCTGGCTGTGGGTACGATCAGATTTTCCACCACAGGAGTCAGTGTCACCAACCTAAAGAGCATGAGGACACAGGTTCCTTCAGCTCCACTGAGGGCAGGCTGGTCTTCAGACAGCAGGTCCGCCTTGTTTGGACACGGAGGAGCAAGCGCCTCCTCATCCAGCAGTGCCAGCAGCACCTTCACAGTGTCTCGACCTCCGTAGGCTGTGGCGTGATTGACTGCATAAGCTTTGGGCTGGAGATTATTAAAAAAACACACACCCATGATTAAGACCCTCAGACCTCATCGGAGCTGTTCGATTAGAGAACTTAGGTTAAACGTTACCCTAGCAGGACTTATCCCCGTCCCGTAGTCGTTAGTAGCCCGTTTCTGGATCTGGTGGAGCTGGAGGATCCTCTCCTTTAGCTCCTTTGTCGTCTCCTCTGCTGCAGCATGAACAGCATCTCCACTGCTTCGCCCTTTCACCAGCGCGGCCCTGATGGCTGTCAGCAGCCTGGCTCCACACTCGCTGACAATTCAACACAGATTTAACACCACATGAGCTGTGAAGCACGGGAAAAAGGTGCATCCATCTATCCATTATCATCCCCTTATCCGGGGGTCGGGTCGCCGGGGCAGTAGCCTCAGCAGGAAAGCCCAATCTTCCCTCCATCCAGCCACTTGGGCCTGCTCCTCCGGGGGAATCCTAAGGCGCTCCCTGGCCAGCCCAGCTGAGAGACATAGTCCCTTTAGCACGTTCTGGGTCTTGCTGGGTGCATCCGTTATTAAAACACACCTCTCCTACATTTGTTTTCTTTGGATGTTTAAAAGGCGCTGCAGCATTTTATAGTCAAGTGCACTAAAACCTGAAGGAAAAGATCGCAGTAAGAAGAGCCGGTGGTCCCACCCCGGTCCAGGACTGAGCCGGGCTCAGTAACGTTTGGGAAAACGGACGTTCGCCGAACAAGGGGCCCTGAACTCAGCACAGAAGGCGTTTGCATGAGGAAACGCAGAACTCCACCGAGAACATAAAGGGTCTGCGTGTTGAAAGACGCTCGTTGGCCGAAGCGGTCAGCGTCTCATCAGCTTTAACTGACAGAGCTCTTTGAAAAAGCAGTGAGAGCTCAACACACACCCTCAAGAGCACGACGGTTACAGCTGCAAAAAAAAGCTGCTCATACAGCTTCCCCTCACGATCGAACATCCAAATCATTTTTGATCATCGCTTTTGTTGCAGAGCCAAAAGCCTGGACGTGCAAACGTAATCTGCAGAGGTAGGATCTGCAGAGCTCTGCGTTTGATCATCAAAGTGAGGGAGCCGCACGCGGGCAGGCTTTGATGTGGCAGAGCTGAACATGCTTCAGCAATCCAAATGTTATCACGAGAAGCTTAGACGGGAGCCATTATTGGGGTTTCTAGGAAATAACGAGGAGCTGCGGCAGTGCAGGTGGATGTTGTGATCGCATGTGGACTTTCAGAGCACAGGCGTTCCCACTGGATTCAGCAACGAGCCCCTTCTCTCGCATTCCTGAGAGAATCACAAATCGAACCTAAAATCCACAAATCTCCCATCCCCTCACAGCTTTGCAAGGTTCAGAGTTTGAGTTTGTTTCCAAATAAAAATACGTCTGAGCTCTCCTTTAAGTCGCACACCCAGCTGGTTAAAAAACGGACTCAACTTGAACGCAACAGGAGGAAAATGTTGTAGTGCTCAGTGTTGAGTACCTCGGGTCAGGAGTCTCCCCCAAAATCTCTTCCAGGATGTCTAGAAACTGGACGTAATCAGACAGGCCTTTGACGTGCTTCCTAAGCGGATCGGACTCTGCTGGAGCGTAGCCCTTCCCTCCGAGCTGGATGGCCCTGACGAAAGACGTCACAGCCTGCAAAAAGAATGAAAGAGCCTAAAATGCTGATGTTGAAGTGATAACTCAACGTTCGTCTTTGGCTTTCTTGTGGCATACGTTGCAAGAAGCCGAGAACATAAGTTTCTCACCAGGAAGAGAGAGGTTTTGTTGCTTCTTGCAGCATGCTTGATGTCCGTAAAGGCCTGTTGTCCAAGAGAGCGACATGGAACGTCGAGGGTGAGCGCCAAGGCCATGTCGTTTTTAGAGTTCACCAGCAAACTCAGATAAGAGCAGAAAACCCGTCTCACAGCCGTTTTCACCTTTAATAAACAGAAAACATCTAATTTAAGTCTGAATGCACCAGAAAAGGGAAAGACACCACGTTTAAGACCAGTACGTCAGTTTACTTTAGAATCCTCTGGCTCAAAACATCCACAGCTCAGCAGCTCTAACCCTGATTTAATTCCTGAAAAAAGGAACGTGATCGATATCACAGCAGCAAGACTTTGGTGGAAACTCGTAAATTCACACGTGACAGAAAGGGAAGGAGGCCATGTTACAGAAGCTCCACGCCATGCTGTGTTTTAAACATCTGCACCGTAATTGGGTTCACACTGAGCTCTTAAATCTGAGTGATTTGATGTAGAGATCCTGGCATTAAGAGCAGGATGAATTCCAGATGGGACTGGAAAAGTAAAACCACGGATTATCGCCTGCAGGTGAAAATATTTTATTATTATGTTTTAATGATGGCAGAAGTGAAGAAAAGAGGTTACTTTACGCACTGCAACGTCACGAACGGCCTGATTTTGAGATCCCACGGGTCAAATGCACAGCCAGGTCAACTTACCCTGGCTATGACACATCCTACAATCTTTTCCCCTCACAGGAGACTCGAAGTCTGCATGTAGCCCCTTTAATCAGAGCCTACTTCCTCACACCAGCTGGACTGCAGAGATAATAAATAATGAACAATAAACATTTTCTCCTCCAAGGTCCATCACCGTGGAACTATTTAAAACAAACTCCTTTATTCCCAGATGAAGAAGAAAAGAAGATTTTATAATTAAAGATAATCATGAAATATTGCCATTTATAGTTATAAATAATGGTATGTTTCAATAATCTGTGTTCAATGATTGTTTAGTATGTTTACTTGGCGAGGTCACAACATTTGCACTCACAAGTAAAGTTATGCTAATGCATGACACAAGAGTTAACCTTGTGCCCACATTCGGAGTCTCCATCACAGAGGGTGTGTCTGAGATGCTTGGTAACATCTCTCAAACTTGTCAGCCCCTGATTGGCTGGCAAAACCATAATATCAATTCTTTAAAACCAGATGGCTTTGGGTAATTAGTCAGTTCTAGAGCGAGCTTCAGACCGGCCATCTTTAGCACCTCTCTAACCAGAAGGATTTTGACACGTCGTCAAAACCTTTTTCGCACCTGCGAAGCTGAAACAACAAGATAGTTTGCTGCAGAACAAAGCTGACACAAAACTCCTTCACAGTTATTTTTAAGACGCTCGGTTTCATCTATCGTTGTGACCCGGGAGACATCCCAGGGCTGATTTGGGCGCGTCGAGGTTTATCTACGAGCCAGGTGCAGTGGGGTCGTCGGTCCCGGGACATCTTGGATCCAACGGGGGTCTTCCAGAACGAGTGAGCTAGACACAGCGAGATAGCATCTGAATGTGGTTCTGATGATAACATCTTTATAGTTTATTTGCAAACCAAATTCTTTCCATCCAGAACTCAGCTCTGAGAACGGAGATTCTGAACACATTATATTCACACATAGGTTCCAGACACCATCCTTTAGTTCGCATCCACTCACAGCAAATAATAGTTTAAACAATTTGTCAAGTCTTAAGTGTTTGTAAATCAATTCTTACTTTGTATATAAACCTGACTGTTTCTTGAATCAAAGCAAAGTGTGTACAATCCCCTGATAATTAAAAGAATCCTAGGATCTTCTAATTAATCATCCTAAGACCAAGCAGGGGATATTCTATTTATATAGAGTATCGCAGCTATTGGTCACAAGTAGTGGTATTAATATAAATAGCTTTTCAAGCAATTTACTTAACCCAAGTTACCCTCTATTATCATTACAGCACCAAGTGGGCCCACCTGTGAGCTGCAAGGTCTGCTTCTGCTGGATGGTGTTGAAGGGACTGGTGAGTTTGGCCCCTCTGGGACCTCCATGTTACCTGATAAAACCTCAAACAGCTGGATCTTGGTGAAAAACAAAAAAGTTAAGAGCACATTAGATTTTTCATCAGTTTTATCTATAATTCAATAACCAAATCAAGTCTCCACTAACTATTTACTGCTCACCGAGCCTACGGGCTCCTCTGGGTCAGAGTCCACCACCTTGAGCTGTTTGTACATGGACAGGACATCAATCAGATCCAGCGTGTTGGAGCGTTGCAGGAAAGATTCATACGCCTCCAGGATGAGATCATAGTTCTCCAAACGTGCAGAGCTGGGGGGCGGCAGGTGAAGTCTGTCTAACAATAAGTGTTTCCAGGCCATCAGGACGTCACTCAGAGCCACTCTGAACTCTCCATTCAGCTGTCAGAGGAGGAGAGAAGAAGTCACAATTACTGATGGGTTGGAACCAACCAGTCCAAAAGGAGAAAGACCTGCAGAGGTCCAAAAAATTAGCAATCAGAAGTCTCATTCGGGTATTGTCATCAGGTATGGACGTTCTATTATTATGTTTTATTACAGAGTGCATGCCTCTGTGAAATAAATATGCAAAATTTTAAATATATGTTAACAAAACTAAAACCTAGGTTATTGGAAGATTTGATTTTTAAAATTAATCTGCATCACAAACAGGATGAACTAACGCTCACCTGTTTGTTCACTTCTGCCATGGCCACCTGCAGCACCAGCAGCATGCCGTCAGCTCCATGAATGGTGGTCCTTTCAGACTCCAACATCCTGTGACACTCTCTCCTGAAGGTTTTCACCATCACCTTGAGGCGGTCCCCTAAAGCTGCCATTATATCCTATAACAAAAATAGCAGAAAGAGCTCTTTAAGACTGTTTTTGTGTTGGTTTCAAGATTTAGAAAAGGGTTAAGTAACATTTACTAGAAGAGCTTTAGTTTGTGTTTGAAAGGCAAATAAAATATGTTGAACATAAATGTAAAGCCTAACATCTTCAGTCAGATGTTGTGGCCAGCAACTGCTGAAATAACACAACTAACGTGTTCCATTATATTTATTTTTATTTTCATCACCTGTATGTACCCCTACACACTCGACACATTTATATTAAAAATTGACCCCAAAAAGTGGGTTTAAACCGTTTAAACAGTTCTAACCTGTTTTCTCGTTGCAGCCTTCCAAGTCCACGACAAAGGCAGCAGCTGTTTTGAAATTTTAAATCGACTGTGACGCCATGTGCCTTCTGGCCAATTAAATTGAAGCAAGCACACAGGGGGGCTTTGTACAAATGTACTTTTAGATCAATCACATTTTACGAACTGTTAACAGTTTACTGAAGTTGAAGTTAGCATAAATTATGATTAAGTACGATTGTATTTTCATGTATTTAAAAAAATATGTATGATTTATTTAGGTTTGTTGTACCCCTTAACCCCCTGATATTTTCAAATGATGGTACGTTCCACAAATCGTATCCGGAAGTAGATGAGAAAACCATCGAGCGCGCGGCGTTGTTTATGCAGCAATTTCACTGCCAGTAGTTTGGTAAAGTATTGAAGCTATTACAGGGTTTGAAATGGAAATATACAATATATAGAAATAATTGGATCATAAGTTGTCGGTTTGAGCATTTACTGCTAAAAACCAGTAATAATTGGAGCCCCAGGTTTTAGCTCACTGTTATGTGCACGCGTGGAGTGGACAGAGTTTACTGGAAATACATTTATACGCGACAAAAGAGGCAGTTTTTGTGCCCAAATGTTCGGGATACCCCACTGTTGTAACTGGTAACTGTAAAGCCGTTTACAAAAACTGTAGTTTAATGTAACTCAAGTATCTTTCCTGTGTAATTTTTCTATTTATGATTTATTCAAGTTTGATTTGTGTTTACAATTTGCCGAATTAAACAGTGACCTAAATAGCTTTGTAGCATCATTCGCAATGTTTCTCACTGATTTTACCAGGACTACCTTCCAAAATTTGTAAAAGAAAAGTACAATTTAAGGAAACCAGGTGATCAAGCCCTCTCCGTTATCCTCAGCCAAAACCATCCTGTGCCTTTTAGATTTTATGATTTAAGTTATATAATTTTTAATTAGTCTGAACATCTTTCAGATTTATTTTTGTGTCATTTTAAATAAAAGTTAATCAGTAATCCGGGTTTCCAAGTCGAGAAGGGTTTCTGCCTAAATAAACAAATACAAGAACATAAGCAGTTCACTCCTAACTGCTTTACCCTCAGCAGGGTCATGGGTAGCTGGTAACTCCAGCGATCATCAGACGAGAAGCAGAGGACAGCCTAGATAGTTCTCCAATCCATCACAGGAACGCACAGATAACCAGTCACTCACACTCAAAACTTGAGACAATTAACCTGAAATGCATCTCTTAGGTCAGTGCCATAGCCAGGACTTTAACCTGCAACCTTCTTGCTGCAAGGCTACCAGCTATGTCAATGTGGAGCCCCTGCATTTGTGCATTATATTAATATTAATAACTTAAAACTAGCCATTGGATGAACTAAGAAATAATGAAGACATATTTTTTCAAGCACATTCTGTGAAAAGTGAGAAGTCATCAAAATGATAGACCGAGTAATACGTTTAACAGTTGTGAGTAAAGTAACCAATTACATTATTACCTGAATACAACTGAGACAAACTGAAACAACTCATTACTAGAACAGTTTTACCGGATCTGTGCAGAAATGATCCTGTTTAATGTGCTAATTTGCCCCTCTTTGTTTTGATATAAATAACAGTGGAAGTCCCGGTTCAGAGCCAGCTTTCCCAGCATACACGTCATGCAGGAGGGCGCTATCCACAGTCCCAGCTACACTGTGCCATGTGACGACTACGTCCATGTGGTGGAGTTCAGTCCCTTCAGCTCGGGTACCCCCGTCTCTCTCCTGGCTTACGGTGGGAACCAGTATGTGGTGGTGGCCACCTGCCTCTTCCAGGTTAGAGATGCAGCTCCACACAGCCAGGTTTACCCTTCACATCGATTATTTTTGTCTTTCATGTGAATTTGCATCAACAGGAGGAGGATATGGAGGTGGAGGGAGTTGAATTCAACATACTTCGAGCTTTTCATCACGAGTTGCAAGTCGAAGTTTTGGCTTGGAGTCCAGAGTCTCAGCTGAACAGGATACCTACCATCAGGTATAACATTTTACCATAATTATTTTGTAAATCTTTGCTGACTGGTAACAGAATACTGTGTTATTATGTGTCAATTGCCTTGCTTGTTCGGTGGATCACACGTGTAATCTTAGCAGTGTGTTATTTATCAACCCTAATACCTTTTTTTGCAAGTCAACTATATTTTCATAGTTCCGTTTTTCAGATCTAAGTTGTGTGTTTATATATCCGACGGTGGGCGGAACCAGGACCCAGCTGGGGAAATTCCCGGTGGCCCTATTTGAGTTCGGTGTTTTTTGGGTTTTTATTTATTTATTTATTTTTTCGGGCCGGTGTTACTCTGTAGATCACCTGCTGCTGATGAGAGGATTTCTCCTGTCAGGAACAGGTGAGCTGCTGCCAACCTAACCCAACAAGCTTCTGTTCCTAGAAACACGTTCTAGCCCAGAGTGACCTGTTATTTATGATTTTATAATTAATATTAAGTGAATGCTCAAAACTCACAGGTGATGGGAAAATAAAATTAAATAAGCCTGTATATTTTCTCCCACAGCTCAGCTCTGTTAGAAATAAGCAGATGTCTGCTTCAGCTGGACAATATCAAGTATAAAAAGTGCTCACAGATAACTGTTCTCTTAATGAAGAAACAATATTAATTCTTTTTAAATTTAATATTGATTTTATTTCATTTCTAAGGTTTAGATGTCTGCGAACATTACAGAATTTTTGATTAGTGTAAATAATACACACTATTATTAAAGGGACTTTACGGAGTTTTGAATTTTGATGCTTGCGATTGCCCCCTCAGGCCAAAAGCGTAACGGCAGCTTCAATAGTAGGCTCGTGCACGAGGCGCACATGCTGTACGTGCACACTCCTTAACGAAAATAGCAGCTGACATTCCCGTGTGTGTGTGTGTGGCCCTGAGGACAGGAGAACGCACAGCTAATTAAATAAATAATTTGGTTCTGTACCTTTCTCTTCAGCACAGCCGACAAAGGTTTATGATGGGTCAGTCCTCCTGCATGCTCAGATCATTCCCTTCCCTTGCTTGAAAAATTGTTCCAAAATGAAAGTTGAACCCACATCTTTTTTATCTGTGAATTCAATGCCGTTCGGCGAGTCTCAAATAAAAATTTGGGCATCTTACTGTAAAAAAATATACCATTAATGTAAAAAAGAAACTCAAAATGAACTATATTTACATCCAGAATCGAACCCAGGACTTCTGCACAGGAGTCCGCCGTCTTACTGGGTGAGCTATAGCATCAGTGACATCTTTTGTATCTGTAACATTTATATCCTTGATGACAGCTGAAACAACGTTCAAAGAACGGTTCGTAGCGAAAATGGCAATTTTGTTGCTAATTTGTAGGAAATATCTAGAAGAAAGTAGCTAAGGGTCCTCAGAAATGAAGCTAGGTTCATCACTAGGCGTTAGGAACAGCGACAAAGTCGCTGAGTTGGCACTGCCTCTCTCTCTGCTGTTAAAGCTACTGATAGCAAATGTTACGGGCGATGCCTGAGCGTGAACGCGCATGAAGCAGCCTGCTCGACCCGAGCATCTCTCTTTTTCTGTGATTTTGCAGAAAAACAGGCAATCACAGTAAAAATGCCAGGGCTCATTCTACAGGACCAGGGCATTGCAGGAGAATGTATGAAGAATACATTTATTATTTCTATACATGTTTTGGCTGTCAAACTTCCATAATGTCCCTTTAATAACAGGTCTGGATGTGGTTTGGTCTGAGGTATAAAACTCTGCCCTGGGTCTAAAGCCCTGCCGATAGATTTAGTTTCTATAAACAACAACAAATAAATAACAGCAGTTGGATTCTACTTTGTTTCTTAAATTTAATCACGTAGTTTTGCAAGTTCTGTACGCTCACATGTTCAACAGCAGCTCTGCCAGCTGACTGGTTCTTTAGTAACTAGTGACATCAGTACAGTTCTGCTACTGAGCAGCATGGATGCATCAGAGGATTTCGCTGTAGTCAGTGTTCAAATAGATTAAAGACAGGATAGGATATATAATCATTCAAATATAATATTATAATGCTGTGAACATGTATAGATACTTTATCATACGTTCTCACCAACCTGTAACTTACCAACCTTTTTTTTCTCAAATTGCCCCAGACGGGCTATACCTGACATGCCTCAGATCCCCCTAGAGTAGTTTAATATATATATATATATATATATATATATATATATATATATATATATAAATAATTAGGGCTGAGCAATAAATAGAAAATTTATCGTTATCGAAATTTCTGACTCTTATCGAGATAATTTTTCCCATGTCATTGAATTTGATAATAAAAAATGAAAAGATGTTTGTAGGTTGGCATTGTTCATGTCCCTTTAAGAAGCTGGACCACCTTGAGTCACGTAAAAATGTGACTCTGCGTAGTACATGTGACAGCCCCATCTAGTGGACAACATTTGTTTCTGCACATACCTGTAGTTATCGTCCATGTATCGTTATCGAGGTGAAATCCTCAATTTATCGTGATACTGATTTTAGGCCATATCGCCCAGCCCTAATATATATATATATATATATATATATATATATATATATATATATAATGTGTGTGTGTGTGTACCTATCAATATATATCTAGGTATATGTAGATAGGTACATATAGATAGGTAGATATACAGATACCGCTGTAGTCGGTGTTCAAAATAGATTCTATCTATCTATCTATCTATCTATCTATCTATCTATCTATCTATCTATCTATCTATCTATCTATCTATCTATCTATCTATCTATCTATCTATCTATCTATCTTTTCTCTCTCTCTCTCTCTCTCTATCTATCTATCTATCTATCTATCTATCTATCTATCTATCTATCTATCTATATATATATATATATATATATATACATATATATATATATAGATAGATGATAGATAGATAGATAGATATAGATTAATATATGGAGATAGATAGATATTTATATTGAATATATATATATATATATATATATATATATATATATATATATATATATATATATATCTCAGCACGGCACGGAGGTGGTGGCTGCATTTGGACATAGGTGCCTGATTTTTATTTTTATTGGCTTTTAAAAATAATTTCGGCTGATATAGAAAAAATTGTATATTTATTAGATTGTAAATTTAGTTGAAGCACCCTTTTGAGCAAATACAACCACGAGTCTTCTTAGTAAAGATGCAACAAGTTTCTTACACCTGGATTTAGGGATCTTCTGCCATTCCTCCCAGCAGACCCTCTCCGGTTCTGTCAGGTTGAATGGTGAAAGTTGGTGGGCAGCCAACTGGGTTTAAGCCAGGGCTCTGGCTGGGCCATTCAGGAACAGTCACAGAGTTGCCGTGAAGCCACTCCTTCATTATTTCAGCTGTGTGCTTAGGGTCATTGTCATGTTGGAAGGTGAACCTTCTGTCCCGTCTGAGGTCCTGAGTACTCTGGAGAAGGTTCTTGTCTTGGACATCCCTGTCCTTTGCCACATTCATCGTTCCTTTTATTGCAACCAGTCATCCTGTCCCTGCAGCTGTAAAATACCCCCACAACATGGCGCTGCTACTGCCATGCTTTACTGTGAGGACTGTATTGGACAAGTGACGAGCAGTGCCTGGTTTTCTCCACACATACCGCTTAGCATTAAGGCCAGAAAGTTCTATCTTGGTCTCATCAGACCAGAGAATCTTCTCACCACCTCTGTCCTTCAGGTGTCTTTTAGCAAACTCCATGCAGGCTTTCATGTGTCTTGCACTGAGGAGAGTCTTCCAACGGGCCACTCTGACATAAAGCTCTGACTGGTGGAGGGCTGCAGTGATGGTTGACTTTCTGCAACTTTCTCCCATTCCCTGACTGCATCTCTGGAGCTCAGCCACGGTGATCTTTGGGTTCTTCTTTACCTCTCTCACTAAGCCTCTTCTCCCCTAGTAGCTCAGTTTGGCTGGACGGCCTGCTCTAGGAAGGGTTCTGGCCATCCTGAACGTCTTCTATTTAAGGGTTATGGATGCCACTGTGCTCTTAGGAACCTTAAATGCAGCAGAAATGTTTTTGTAACCTTGGCCAGATCTGCGCCTTGTCACCGATCTGTCTCTGAGCTCTTCAGGCAGTTCCTTTGACCTCACGATTCTCATTTGCTCTGACATGCATTGTGAGCCGTAAGGTCTTGTATAGACAGATGTGTGGCTTTCCTAATCAAGTCCAACCAGCATCATCAAACACAGCTGTACTCCAATGAAGGTGTAGGACCATCTCAGTAATGATCAGAAGAAACAGAAAGCACCTGAGTTAAATGTTACAACAAAGAGTCTGAATACTTAGGACCATGTGAGACTTTAGTTTTTCTTTATGAATAAATCGGCATAAAATTTCTACAAATCTGTGTTTTTCTGTCTATGGGGTGCTTTATGTGCATTAATGAGGAAAAAAAAGAATTTAATTGATTTTTAGCAAATGGCTTGCCCTTTGTCACCGGTTCTGTTCATTACCTTTATGGACAGAATTTCTAGACGCAGCCGTGGTGTGGAGTGTGTCGAGTTTGGTGGCAGGAGAATCTCGTCTCTGCTTTTTGCGGATGATGTGGTCCTCCTAGCTTCATCCAGCTCTGACCTTCAGCTCTTGCTGGGTAGGTTCGCGGCCGAGTGTGAAGCAGCTGGTATGAGGATCAGCACCTCCAAATCTGAGACCATGGTTCTCGACCGGGAACGGGTGGCATGCCAACTCCGGGTCGGGGGAGAGGTCCTACCTCAAGTGGAGGAGTTTAAGTATCTCGGGGTCTTGTTCACGAGTGAGGGTAGGAGGGATCGGGAGATCGACAGGCGGATCGGTTCAGCGTCTGCAGTGATGCGGACGCTGAACCGATCTGTCGTGGTGAAGAGGGAGCTGAGCCAGAAAGCCAGGCTCTCGATTTACCGGTCGATCTACGTCCCAATCCTCACCTATGGTCATGAGCTTTGGGTAACGACTGAAAGAACGAGATCGCGGATACAAGCGGCCGAAATGAG